AAATAGGCAAGTAGAACACACTGTAGCACTGAACAACAGGGAAACTACAGGCATGGGAACGGACAGCATGAACATCTCACAGGACCCACTTCATACGGACTGGCCAGGAAGGGGTTTGCGAGTTCCCATCGGACCCAGTCTCCCAACTTAAAACCACTCCACAGGCCCATTCTCCTCCCCCCACCCCCGCCTCTGCCTTCAGGCTACAGTTCTAGCCTGGCTGCACCCTAAAGTCACGTGCTGACCTCCATCCAAACTCAGGATCCTGAGGCCCCACCCCGGTCAGTGTAGCTGAACCTTAGAGGCCAGGTTCAGGACGCCCCGGAGTTTCTGGTGTGCAGCCACTTTGGGAACCACACTGTCCCAGGAGCTAAATCTGGACTCTGGAGCCAGGCTCTCAGGCTTCCAATCTGGTTCCTGCTTACCTCTCCAGCTTCATTTCCTGCTGCTCCTCCTCCCCACCCCAGGAAATCTCAAGCTTCTGTATTTCTGAATTGCTTTGCTGTTTCTTGCCTTCAGGTCTTAGCGCATACCATTCCCACTGCCTGGGAATTCCTCCCACTTCAACTGGCTAACTCCTACCAGTCCGGAAGCACTCTGCTCAGATGTTATCTCCTAGATTAGAGGATACATTGCCTGAATCTCCACCTAGGCTAGACGCCCCTTTTTCCCTGCTCCTCACACCAACACTGGACACTGGATGGTTAGTGGCTGTTTCATGAATTGCCTCCCCAACTGGACTGAACTCCTCAATGAAGACCAGACCCATGTTTGTGGGCAGCACCAGGATTCCCAGAGTGAAGTGCCCAATTGAAAGTAGACACTGTGGCCCTAGCTGGTTTGAGTCCGTGGGTGAAACGTCAGCCTGCAGACTGAAGGGTCCCGGATTCGATTCCAGCCAAGGGCACATGCCCGGGCTGTGGGCTCCATTCCCGGTGGGGGGCGTGCAGGAGGCAGCCGGTCAATGATTCTCAGCATTGATGTTTCTAGCTTGCTCTTCCTCTCTGAAATTAATAAAATATATATATTTTAAAAAGCAGACACTGCCGTGGTGTACCCTCCACTCCCCAGACCAAGCTGCAGGGTCCAGAGTATAAGGGACGCAACCTAGTGTCCTCCAATGAGCCCCAAGCATGCTCCTCAGATCCAGTTTCCTTTTGAAAACAGTTCTGCTGTCCGCCTCCTCTGAGCACAGCCCTCACTGAGCAGTTACTCCATGATAGGAGGCGGGGAGGCACAACAGGAAGGCGCTAGGCAAGTACAGAGAAGAATCAAGTTCAAGTCTAGGCTGTGACATTGAAACACTGATCTCAGACAAGTTATCTTCTCTCTGATCCTCAGAATGTAAGATCCTTTTTAGCAATTGCATTCCTGTGTTCCAGGGCCATAGCCCAAGGCAGAGCATATAAACCTTTCCACCCTGGGAGGTAGGAATGTTATCTAGATCAGCGATTTCCTGGTGTGCCGCAAGAATTTCTAAAGCACACAATGAATTCTTAAAACATGCAAGAATCTGACTAGTCAGGGGCACTGACCTCTTTTCCCTTAGGCTGTCAAACAAAAACATAACAGCCAACACAACAGCCATCCGATGTGAATGAATCAAAATACCTTTTTAATTTAGTCAGCGGGGGGGGAATCTAGTTTTTGGTGTGCCACCAAATTGTTGTAGTTTATATGTGCCACGAGATGAAAAAGATTGAGTCCAGCCAGCGTGGCTCAGTGGTTAAGTGTTGACCTACAAGCCAGATCATGGTTTTATTCAACCTGGGCACACGCCCAGGTTGCGGGCTCCATACCATGGGGAGTGTGCAGGAGGCGACTGATCGATTATTCTTTCTCATTCTCTCTCTCTCTCTCTCTCTCTTTCTCTCCCCCTTCCCCTCTGAAACCAATAAAAATATATATATATATATATACATTTTAAAAAAGAAAAAGGGTTGAGAACCGCTGATATAGATGATTCCCCACACCCTCCTGAAGATTCCAGGGCCAGAGCACAGAGCTCTAGTCTCTGGCTGTGGAGGTGCAGCAGGGAGCTACTGCTTTTGATTATAAGCCTTTCTGCGCGACCTTATTTTCCAACCTGTGTACATATTGCTTTGACTTTGAAAAAGGAAGAAGCTTCACAAGTGAGTCGAGTGCAAATCCGAGGCGAATGACCACCCTCAGTGGAGAAACCCCAAGACGGAATCGGAGGGCCCGAGTTCAACTCTGCTATCTGGGTCACTCACCCTTCCTGGGCGTGTTTCCCCCTCTGGAAACGGGAGAACAGCAATCGCTGCCTTCAGAGGCCTGCGAGAATGTGTCAGCCAGTGCTTCAAATGTATTTCCCTTCATCCTCCCGGCACTGCTGCAGGTAGGCTTCTGTTAGCTCCTTTCCTTCAGCGAGAAACTGAGGCCCATGCAGGAGACGAAACAGGCTCAAGCTGCTACAGCTAAAACCTGAGCCAGGGTGACCCCCAAACTGCACTTACAATTATGCCATTACTTCCCAAACTACGGCACTGGTGGTATGCGGCTTCTTTAATTGAACACAGACAAATTTGTTTTGATTATACCTTTTAATATGCATTAAAAAACAACATAACAACACATAAAACCCGTGGTTTCACGATGTCACTACTTAGGATGAAAATTGAAATACATGATTTTAAACCTAAGACAATCTGAAAAAAAATATTGAGTAAGTGGTACAGGAGGCCAATTTGGAATTATCTATTAAAAACAAAAATATAAATAGCCTATGACTCTTTCAATTCAATTTCTAGACATCAATCACAGGTACATTTTCACACACACACACACACACACACACACACACGATGCTCCTATGTATTTTGTAATATCAAAACCAGAAAACAGCCTTATGACGGCAATCTATACAGTGATTACAAAGGATGACATGATTATTAGCAACATGCACTGATCTCAAAAGCATTAGGCCAAGAAAACAAATTACAGGACATGTCCATGTCCATGTCCATGTCCATATATACTGTCTGCATTAGACACAATAACATTTCCAACCTATTAGTATATGTAAAAATCTTAAAAGTCTAGCTAGAAAGATGTACAACAAACGGAACAGCAGTTAAGGGAGGGAGGGCAAACGGCGGTCAAACAAGGCTAGCTCTGTTTATAATCATCTAATGTCTTAAAAAGAGTAGATTCGCGGATGACTTGAGTAATGAGAGCTGACTTAACTTTGCAGAAATGATGCAGTGAACAGATCGGGACAGAGTGACAGTCTGTGTGGTGTGTGCGAACCAGCAGAGACTGACCTCATGGTAGCAGGCTGCGCCCAAAATGAACATCAGCGTGTTTGGCTGGGATGTGGCCCAGGCCACCTCTCCCTACTTCCTCACCATTTAGCCGGGGCCCTGGGCACCCCGTTATTATACACGATCGAAGCTCCAGATTTCCTTAGGCCGTCCACGTACAGGTAACCCCTCCCCCATCGGTGCCCGGGACTCTCCTGGAAACCAGGACGTTCCGCATCCCCAGATTTGGAGGCTCCTTCTGCCCCTAACAGCAGGGATCAGAAGCCCTCGGGGACCCAGGCATGAGAAGGCGGTGGGCTCCGAGCAGGGATAAGGCCTCCAGTCAGAAGCTTGACATCATCAGGTCCTATGTGAGGTAGGTAAGGTTGTTAGCCCTATTTGACAGATGGGGAAACAGCGAGGCGCAGGAAGGTCAAATGACTTGCCCAATGTCACACGAGCGAGTGATTAAAAACATGGGACTAGGGCTCCCTGCTGGGAGCACGCCTGCGCGCTTCCTGCTTTTCCTTCACCCCACCCCAAGTGCATTGTCATTACCACCCTCGCTCCCAAGCTCCTAGGGCCCTTCCGTTACCTCTACTGTTTGGTTTCCTGCACCCATTTCTTCTAGGAATTACTTTTCCTACCTCTGGATTTTAAAAAACGGGACTAGAACCTGCAACTGTCTGTCCCTGGAGCCCAGGCTTTGCTCCAGTGCCTGACCAAACCCTACCAACTTATCCAGGCCCAGCTCCGATCCGACCTTCTCCAGGAAACCTGGAGGTGGTGGGCTCCTCAAATCCAAAGTGCCTATACATGATTCCGCTGCCACAGGAACTCCTGAACCCGAAGCATCTCCTTAGGAGGGATCACATGACTCAGTTATGCATTCCTAGCGGAGAGCCTGACAAGCAGCGCGCTCACTATGCCTCTGATAAATACACAAATAAATGCAAACACAAATGAGGGGATGCAGGCAGTCTCACGTGACTGCCCGACTCCTTCCTATGAGATCCTGAATACCTTTGCCCAGTTCTGGGATGCAGTCATACGAAGCTCTCTTGGAGTCAAATTCAACCTAGGTTCTTTTTTTCCTTTTTTAATCCTCACTGGAGAAATGAGGATATTTTTCTGGTTGATTTTTAAAGAGTAGGAGGGAGGGGGGAGCGGGGGAGAGAGAAACATCGATGTGAGAGATACATCGACTGGTTGCCTCCCACACACACCAGGACCAGGGGCGGGGGAATCGAGCCTGCAACCCAGATAAATGCCCTTGACTGGGAATCAAACCCAGGACCCGTTAGTGTGCAGGCCGATGCTCCAGCCACTGAGCCACGCCAGCCAGGGCCAACCTAGGTTCCTTCTAAAACGAGTCTCCAATATCATTATTTTGCAAACACAACCACATGCACACACACATACCCACACACAAGCAAACTGCAAGGAGTTCCATAGACCTATGTAATGGGCCGATGGAAGGCAAGGTCTGGAGGGAGGGGATGGACAAATGGCCCTGTTTAGCTCAGCACCTTCCAGAGGCCAGGATGCTCCCTGCAGCTCCGGAGTTTTTGCTCCAGACCTAACACCACCTCTGTTCCTCTTGGTACTCAGATAGCGGCGCCAAATCCCACGACAACAGCAAACAGGGAGAGGAGAGAAGGGAAGGTTGAAGCCAAATATCCAGAGATTGGCAGATGGGCAGCTTAGGGATCCAGAGAGGGTGGGAGGGCGGAACTGCTACTGCTCATTGGGATTGGGGTTGGCATCTGGGTACTTGGTGAGGTCAAAGGTCAAGACTTTGCTGATCACACAGTCCCCTTGCTGAAGGAGGAGAGAGAGAGAGAAAAAAAAATGAAATTGTAAGGAGGGAATTAAGAGGGGTCCGAGAGTCCCAGGACTGAGGGCCTCAAGCCCTACTTCCCTAGCAGTGGTTCTCTCTGGGTTTTCTCCCTGCCCACCTCTGCGTGCTGCTGCTGCTCTGTCTGGCTGCCTGTGCCTGGCCTTGCCAGTTGTCCCCAGGTGCAATGGCCCTGCCCCGCTGGGGTGGCTAAGCCTCCGGGGCAGAGCTCCAACCAGCCCAGAAAGCTCCAGCCAGTCAGGAAACTGAATCTCTGGCTTCCCTGCCTCGCACCCCTTCGCTGTGGCCTTCCCGCCCTGCCCCGGGGAGTCAGGCAGGGAGTGGGGCTGGTTCCACGTCCGTCCACCCTACCTCCGGGTAGACGCCAATGAGGCTCTCGGCCTTGGTGTAGAACTCCTCCTTGAGGGAGATGACGATGGCCTGGAAGTTGCAGGTGGACTGCTCCTTGATGTAGTTGGCCACCTGTGGAGGGGCCACCGACACACAGCAGGCTGAAGCCTTAGTAATGCCTCATGTTCCCAGCCAGAACCAGAAGCAGAGGCGGGGGCACAGGGCAATGAGATACTAAGAAGAGGCCACTGACTAGCAGGGCGTGAATGACCCTGGGCCCAGCCTCCCCCCACAGAGAGCCAACAGCAGGACGAGCTAGGGCACATTCAGGATCTGCCCCCCCAAACCCAGCCCCAGGAAGCCCCTCTTCCCTTGCACCCACCTTGCCAATGTTGGTGTTATCCAGGGCGGCATCAATCTCATCCAGGACAAAGAAGGGGGCCGGCTTGTAGCTGGAGGAAGCAGGAGGGAAGGGGGACCAGTAGGTGAGTGACATGGATGGGGTGGGGGTGGGGCAGAACAGCCCAGGGCCCATCACACAGGCCAGATCCCCCTCCAAAGGCCGTGTCTGCAGCACCCAGATCCCGTAGAACCAGCAGACACAGCCCTCCCAGGCTGACTGGGAAGGTGAAGCTGCCCTACGCTCTGGCCATACTCACCAGGCCGGCTAGAACTGGTCTGCCCCGCCCACCTGCACCTTGCTCTCATGTCTGCCTGCCTACACACATATTACACAGTCCGCCTGTAATGCCTCCTCTCTCCCTGGCCAATTTCTACTCATTCTTTTATAATTGATTGCAGAGAGGAAGGGAGAGAAAAAAAACACCAATCATGAGAATCACTCAACAGCTGCCTCCTGCATGCCCCCGTCCTGGGGATTGAGCCCACAACCCGAGCATGTGCGGGGGCTGGGAATTGAACTGTGACCTCCTGGTTCATAAGTCAACACTCAACCACTGAGCCACGCCGGTTGGGCTCTCCTCATTCTTTACATTTCCTGCTCATGTGTTACCTACTTTACCTCCGAAAGCCTTCGCTGGCCAGCCCTATCCTTCTCCAGAGTGGGTGGTGCCCTCCTCTGTGGTTACAAAACCAAGCTCACCGCCTGCTTACACATCTGGCTCCCACTAACCCACAAGCTTCCTGAGGACAGAGACTGTGTCTGATTCATCTGTGACACGAATAGCCCCAGGGGGTCTAGTACAGAGTGGCCCTCAAGAAACGCTCACTGAATGACACTATACAATCCAGCGCTAGGTTGTGGGGGTCAGGTTCAAGTACAAGTGGCATTCAGGAGGGGAAGGTCACGGTATGCTTCTCAGGTCAAAACAGGCTTCCCAGAGGAACAGGAGGAGGAGGAGACGTGAAGGGGCGGTAGGTGACCGTCACGCCGTATTTGCATGGAAAAGACTGATTGGCCAGCAATCACGTGAGCCACACCCTGGTGGGAGGACTGAATACATGCGGGGCTAGTGAGGGCATGCTGATAGAGGGAGGATGGGGGGAAATGGGCCTAAGAAACCAAGGCCAGGTGTGGTATAATAGTAGGTAGGGAAACAGGGGAGCAATTCCAGTCAGTCTCTTCACCAACTGCCCTGGCGGGCACAGCCTTACCTGTGAATGGCAAAGAGCAGGGCCAGCGCCGCCACGGTTTTCTCCCCGCCTGACAAGTTGTCCATGGGCCGGAAGCGTTTGCCGGGGGCCACGCAGTTGTAGTTGATGCCGTCCAAATAGGGCTCCTCGGGGTTCTCAGGGCCCAGGAATGCCTAGGGCGGAGGCAGATGAGTGAGGTCTTCGGTCTGGAGGGGGATGTGGACAGGAAGCCTCGAGGGCAACTGAGGGTGACAGGGGCTGGTTGGATAAGGGGCTCCCACCTACCTGGGCACTGCTGTTGCGGGACAGGGCCTTGTAGATCTCATCGATGTTGGTGGCCACGGATTCAAAACAAGCGTTGAAGCGGTCAAAGCGCTCTTTCTTGATCTGCTCGAATGCCTGCTTGGCCTTCTTGGCTCGCTTTCGGGCCGCCTCGAACTCTGCCACAAGGGAGACAGGCGACCCCTCAGTGCCCAGGCTCCGCCAAGGCTGAGGACCGTGCTGTTTGACAAGGATGACCCGCAAATGACCATCTACGGAGCAGCGATACCCCGTAGAGGGAGACAGTGCCTGGGGAAGGGTTCCAGGATGATGGTCCCACCACCAGCTGTAACCGGGGGACTGGCCACGTGGTGCAAAGGAAGCAATACACATGGGTTCTTCCCTGGGCTCTTCCAGCAACCAGCTGTGTAACTGTCGCAGGCAATTCGCCCTCTTTGAACCGCAGCAGTTTTTCCTACGCTATAAAACAGGTGTAAAACCCTAACCGGTGTGGCTCAGTGGTAAAGTGTCGGCCTGTGGACTGAAAGGTCCCAGGTTCGATTCCGGTCAAGGGCATGTACCTTGGTTGCGAGCACATCCCCAGTGGGGGGTGTGCAAGAGGCAGCTGATCCATGTTTCTCTCTCCTTGATGTTTCTAACTCTATCTCTCTCCCTGCCTCTCTATGAAGAACCAATAAAATATATTTTTTAAAAAATCAATAAAGTATATTTAAAAACAAACAAACAAACAAAAAACAAGTGTGATAACCCCTACTGTTAGCCTCCTGGGCGTTTCAAGTAAGAAAGCATGTACAAACGGGAGCTCTCGGGATGTACAGCAGGCCCCTGCCACCCCTCTGGCCTCCTGTCTTTATCGTGGCCCAAGTGAAAGGGGGCAATCCTACCATCCGAGGTCTCCTGGAACTTGTCCCGGACACTCTCCAGCTTCTCCATGGCCTTCATGTTGGGGGCGGCGATCCGCTGCAGCACGCTCTGCTGCTCGTTCAGCTTCTGCTGCAGCGTGTTCATCTCCTGCTTGATCTCCTCCTCGGCCTGAGCATCCTGTAAACCCCAGGCCCCGTGACATCAAGGAAGGCCGGGGCCCATCGCCCAGCCCCCAGAGATGCTTCACTGCGTGGGTACCCGCTCCCGAGCAGAGTTCAGGCTCTTCCCCAGCTCAGTTCCTCCCACAGTAACCATCCCGCCCTCCCCGGAAATCACAGGCTGGTGCTGCTTTCTCATCTCTTCTCAGCCCTTCCCCCCAGTCCTGTCAACGTCTCCGTCTCTCAGGAGCAGCTGGTGGGGCCCCTCGCTGGCTCTCAGCCCAGGCCGGGAGCCAGCACCATCCCAGGGTGACCTCGAGGCGCCCACACAGGCCGGCCGGGACCATGCAATAAATAACCAGATCACTACATCTGAGCAAATTCCACTTGAGTTTGGTTTTAGGTTTTATGGATATTGCGCTGCGTGTCTGGGCTTGTGCCGCCTTTCTGCCGCTTTTAGTCAATAAATATTTACTGAGTGCCTTCTGAGTGCCAGGCACCAGGGCCTGAGAACCTGGGAGCCACGGTTCCTGTGCTCACAGAGCTGGCAGACTCACAGGGAAGCGCAGGCAAGTACATGGTCGGGACACTACAGGGTGACACCAAGACTCCAATCAATAGACATGGGGCCAGCACGCAAGGTCACCTACTCAGACTCCGCAGCCAGGGAAGGTTTCTAGAAACATGCTGATGCTCAGGCCTGCGGACTGAATGGTGAGGGTGGAGAGAAAAAACAGGCTTCTATGCAGACGAGGGCATCGCATGCAAAAGCAGGGGTTTGCTCATAGTTTCTTCAAGGAATTGGAAGCAATTCAAAATAATCAGCCTTAAAAATGTCACTGGGTGGAGATGGGCAAAGAGGGGGGATGGGGGACATCTGTAATAGTGTCAATAACAACATTCAAAAGCCCCTCCACCCCACAAAAAAGGCAATTCAACATGGCAAAAGTAGCAACTGTGTGTATGTGTGTGCACGCGAGTGCATGCTGGGAAGAAGAGACAAGGCTAGAGGCACCGAGAAGCCTGATGATGAAGGGACTTGTAGGATTTAAGAGGTTTGGACTTCATCCAAACGATGTGGCGCTCCACCGAATGCCTTGAAGCGCAGGAGTGACATGACTATATATATAAATATATTTTAGGAAAGCCCTTCTGAAGATTTCTAAATACCGGTGTGAAGTGGTCTCCAGGATGGAAGCGAAACACAAAAGGTACTCGACGCAATGCTACCTTTCATCTGAGAGCAGGAATATGAATATATTTGCATACAAATGTATTTGTCTTTCAAAAGTACAGCAGCGGGAAAAAAAAAAAAAAAAAAAAGGATAATCCAAGAGCTAATTAAAACGGTTACAGAGAGGATGAGAGGTTACGGGGACAGGAAAGGAAGCTCAACTTCTCTTCATGTGCCTTGTACTATACTTTTGGGTTTAGAACCATATGAAGACTACATAGTTATAAGAAAGAATTCAACCAAAATGTGGAAAACATGGGGTAAAAGAATTGCTGGGTGGAGTGACTAGGTCGAGAAGGTGAAGGCATTAGCAAAAGGACATATAGGAATCCTCCATGGACACAGAAATAGTTTGGTGAAGGCCAAGGAAGAAAAGGCAGGGGTGGGTGGAGGTGGGCAAAGTGGGGAGGGGAGGACACCTGCAGTGATGTCAACATTAAAATTTTTCCACCAAAAAAAATTAAAAGCAATTGTTGGGGAACCAGATATTCACAAGATGCCAAAAAATCGCCCTAAAGTTTTCTAACTATGTTCAAAGGTAAAAGTGTTTGTTTGGCGTTGAGAGATCTGGCCATACCTTAACTGAGAACCAAACTTAGCAGCATGAATATGGGGCATCCTGACAGTATGTGCCTCCTGGCATGACCCAATCCAAAGTGCAAAGCATCACCAAGGAACTGTTCTTGCCAAAAAATTACTTAACCGGAACCCATCAAGCCTCCAGAAGAGATCAAACTTCCAATCACAGGAAGAGCAAGTTAAGCGACATGAAAACAAACTGGCATATCTATCTATAATGTACCCCCAACATATCCATTCTTTGAGACAACACATTAAAAAAAAAAAAAAAAAAACCAACACACAGACTCTTCAAAAGATCAGTTATGAAAAAAGGTGAGGGGAATATTCCACATTAATGGAAATCAAAGGGACAGAAGAACCAAAAGCAACATACAATTGGATCATAGTTTGGTGGGTTTTTTTTTTTTAAGCTTTTATAAAAGGCACTTTTGAAACACATAGAGAAATCTGAATGCGGGCAGGATATGAAATATGAAATTACTATTACTCTTCTTAGGTATAATATGGAATTGTGATTATTCTCAGGATGCTGAACCATTCAGAGTTGAAGTCTGCAGCTTCCTTCAAACAGTTCAGCAAAACACAGAAAAAAGTGTGCCGTGTAGAGGGAAGGGGATCGAGCTGAGAGAGAAAGCACACTGAAAAATATTCATTGGTGAATTTAAGGTGAAGGGCATATGGATGATCACTATATTATCCTTTCAATTATTCTATAGGTTTGAACGTTTTCAAAATTAAAGTTGGGAATAATTAATCACAATGCAAAAAAAGAGCAATCCCTTAAAAACTAAAAACTAAACAAAAATACCTGACTATATATTAAGTTGTTTAAACCCAGAGAATTCTTTCAAATTACTTTAAAACAGAAACACATGTCCAATGAGCTGTTAGCCTAACAAAAAAAGAACCTCAAGGAAATCTTAGACAGTATTCAAAAGTTAAATTGTTGCTAATAGTATCTTATTGTGGTTTCCAAACTCTTACAGAGTAAGATAAATATGTTACTATGTTAGTGTACTGGCAGCTAAGAACCAAGATTTTTAGCAAGAGTAACTGGAGACTCAACCATAAAATCAGTGATGCTGAACTGTGAGAATTATACCGTGTTTCCCCAAAAATAAGACATCCTCTGAAAATAAGACCTGGCGCATGGAAAGATAAGACATCCCCTGAAAATAAGACCTAGTGCAACTTTGGGAGAAAAAATTAATATAAGACACTGTCTTATTTTCGGGGAAACAGGGTATTTAAATTGGAAATATGAGTATAAACTCATGATACATGTTCCTTCAAAAGAAAAATATACATTTTGTAGCTCAGTCTACCAAAAAGTTCTAGAAGCACCAAGCAACCGAGCAGTTCTAAGCACTCCAGTGTCCAGACGGTTGTCACCAAATAACAGCATTTTCCGACTAAAAGAAGTCAAGAGCTTTTCAGAGAAATGGCTAATTCAGGACATGGGGTAGGAAATGCAGAGAATGAGTCTGGAAATACCAAGAAGCAAGGAAGATATCAAAGATGACAAGAGCTGTGTCAAAATGATTCAGAAGCCAACTTGAATGAGTTCCCACTGGCCAAACAGGCGACAATTTGATCAGTAAGAATCACCACCACCACGGAGTACAACATAGCAAATGTGTTTAAACCTCTAAGTTCATAATGACAAGAAAACAATTTAGTGGACGTATCTTGAGAATGCCACAGAAAGAACTCATTAGCTTATAAATGGTAATACAGGGAAAGAATCAAGCATATATAACCTGCCTTTCCTACACAAACTATACCTCAGGGCAGTGGTCGGCAAACTCATTAGTCAACAGAGCCAAAGATCAACAGTATAACGACTAAAATTTCTTTTGAGCCGAAACCGGTTTGGCTCAGTGGATAGAGCGTCTGCGGACTGAAAGGTCCCAGGTTTGATTCTGGTTAACGGCATGTACCTTGGTTGCGGGCACATCCCCAGTAGGGAGTGTACAAGTGGCAGCTGATGGATGATTCTCATAGATGTTTCTAACTCTCTATCCCTCTCTCTTCCTCTCTGTAAAAATCAATAAAATATGATTTTTAAAAAAAAGAAATTTCTTTTGAGAGCCAAATTTTTTAAACATAAGCTTCTTCTAACGCCACTTCTTCAAAATAGACTCGCCCAGGCCGTGGTATTTTGTGGAAGAGCCACACTCAAGGGGCCAAAGAGCCGCATGGGTCTCGCAAGCCGCAGTTTGTCGACCACTGCCTCGGGTAACCAAACAACTGATGAGAGAAAAATCTCTTTTTAAAGTATTCTAGATAATAAAGAAACTGTGACCTCCTGGTTCATAGGTCACCGCTCAAGCACTGGCACAAGAGGAAGACAACCAATCAAAGTGTCTCTCTCACATGGATGTTTCTCTCTCTCTGTCTCCCTCCCCCCTCCCATCCACTCTCGAAAAATCAATGGAAAGAAATTTAACTCACTCCCTCAGGTGGATAAATAAAAAAAATGGCTAGGGCTAACAATGTCTGAACCCAGTGATCAGGATTGTTTTTCTTTTTTCAAACATACACAAAAACGCAGAGAATTTAATGAACTCCCATGTACCTATTACCCAGCTTCAATAATCATCAACTCAGAGCAAATACTCTGCCATCTACACCTAATTCCTTTCCATGGTCAATTATTTCTAAAACAAATCTCGGAAACAGCATTGCATCCATAAATACTTCCACTTGATCTCGAGAGCGGGGTTTCGGAATCTCGGCACTGCTGACACTTGGGGCCAGTTGCACCGGTTCTGTGGGGGCTGTCCTATGTGCGGTAGGTGTTTCACAGCTTCCCAAGACGCGGGGAGTAACCTCCGGCCCAGTTGTGACAAGTGGGTGTGAGGATTATCTCCAGACATTAACACATGTCCCCTAGGGATGCAAACTCCACCCCGCACTCCATTCTGAACCACTGTTATAAGACAGTGGTTAAAAATAAAACCCAAGGGGGTTCGATTGGGGGAAAAGGAGACATATGTAAAACTCTAGGAAAATAAATAAATAAATAAATAAAGCCCAATACCATTAACTCGCCTAAAAATATTAGCAGCAATTCCTGAGCATCATGAATTATCTGGTCAGTGTTCAAATGGTCCTGATTGTTTTGCAAAAAAAATTTTTACAGCCCTGGCTGGTACTGTTCAGTAGTTAGAATGCTGTCCCTAGCACTGAAGGGTCTTGGGTTCTATTCCTGGTCAAGGGTGCATACCTGGGTGGTAGGTTCAATCCCCAGCCCCAAGGGTGTGTGTGCAGGAGGCATCTAATTTATGTGTGTCTCTCACATCAATGTTTCTCTTTCTCCCTTTCCCCCTCCTTCCTTTCCACTCTCTAAAAATATCCTTAGATGAGGATTAACAAAAACCAAAAGCAAACCAAAAAAATTGTACAGGTTTTTAAAGCAAGGTATACACATTGCAACTGGCTAACAGGTCAATTAAATCTCATTTAATCTATAAATTCCCTCTTTCTTTGCAATGGACTTAAATGAGAGCCGCATAGTCCAATGGGTTGACTTGTCTCCTATAGTCTATAAAAGTTCCCCCTCTGTATTTATTTTCTTTCTTCATATATATATGGAAGAGAACAGGTCTTCTGTCCTTTACTTTCCAGTATGGATATGGCTGAATGCATCCCTGAGCTTTCATTTCACATGTTCCTCTGGCACCCATGTTTCTTATAATTGGTGGTTATAAAAGCTCGATCAGATCCTTGAGTTTTTGGCAAGAATATTTCATAAGAATGTTGAACAGTGATCAATCTTATCTTGACAAAGACAGGACTGGCATTCAGTGTCCACTGATGCGACACAAAAGGAAGTTTACAGAGTACCGCCTATGACGTATTCTTGTCAAAACTAAAAAATGAACCTGAATCCAGTCACACCCTAGACTTAACTACCGGTTTACAGAAACACAGGGTATGGAACAACATGTTAAATAACATGATGGGACATACTCAGCCAAATTTGGAATGCAGAAAATTGTGCAGGTCCAATGACCCAGTTTCTTCCATAAATAGGAAGAGAGAAATGTTACAGACTAGAAGAAACCAATTCTAACATATGGACCTCACTTGAATCCTGATCACAAAAACTGTGCAAAAGAAAAAAGATATTTATGGGATGTTCACGGGAATCTAAACATTTACTAAGTATTAGATGATATTAACGAGTTGTAGTTACGTTTTTTTAAAGAGTCCTTCCATGAATGGAATAGCTGGCATTTGATTTAAATAAAATAGGCCAACAGGGAGATGGAAGGGTATAAAAAACAAGATTGACCATATGTTGCTAATTGCTGAAGCTGAATAATAGGTGCCTGGGGGTTCATTATAGCATTCTCTATATATTTGAGAACTTCCATAATAAGAAGTTTTTAAAAAATCAATTCCCCCTGCTATAATGATGGATTGGAAGGCATCAGAAGCTATTTAGGAGGCTCCTGTAGTCCATGGGAGAGGAGAGAGGGGCCTGCACTAGTAGGAACAGGAAAAAAGAGAATAGCTATTTAGGAGATAGAATGGATAGGGCTTGGTAATTCACTGAATAGGCCAAGTGAGAGAGGGAATCTAGCATGAGGCTCAGATTTCTGGTTTGAACCTGTGGCCAGCTCTAAGAAGGGGTCGATAGGGGAGGAGGGCTGGCATCTGAGACACCTGTGGGCCCTAGCGTAGAGACGGTAGCTGAAAGAAAGATCCAGGAAGAGAAAGAAGAGAAAAAGTCAAATGAGAAGAACGCCTGGGACAGAGGGCTGAGGAACCTCTGAGCTCTGTCTGTTCAGGAGCCGGTTCTCTGTGTGTGTAGGGAAGTTCTCAAATATATAGAGAATGCTAGGATGAACCCCCAGATCCCGTATCACGGAAGGGGAGATGAGCAGCAGGCAGGGATGGGCGCAACTTGAGGCCAGGGAGGAAGATGTGCTGGTTTATCTGTGCACATAGGGGGACACCCTGGATAATAACTCGACCCTCCCTCTCTTGCCAGCTTGTCTTTCTTTCTGGCCCTGGTCTCCAGAGGGTCCCCAGATGAGCTGACCCATGCTCTGGACAGTGGGAAAATGTCCCCCCAACCCCCCTGGCCGATCCTCACCTTCAGATCCTCACACAGGTCGCCGTAGTCAATTTCAATGAGGGCCTCTCGTGCATAGATACTGGAAGTTCGCTGAGAGCCACTCACGGAATCCTCCCCCTGGGAGCTACCCTGCAAAGGCAACGCGGAGTGGAATGGAGCAGGCTGGCCAGGAGAGGGCCCTTCTAGAAGGGGCTGGGGCTCCCGGGCAGCCTTCATGACAGAGTAAGCACCCTGTGGCAGGACGGCAGCTTTGAAGGCAAAAAGATCTGAGTTCAAAATCGGGCTCTAGTGCTGCCTAAGGCTTTGATCTGCTGCCACAGACCCACTGGGCTTCTGTTCAAATCATGCCGTGGGATCCGAGCTCTCTCCTCTCTCACGTGGGCAATGCCTGCCTGGCAGAGCCGTGGTTTGGATTAGATGTAATTATGTCATATGATACCTTGAGCCCTGGTGCATTTCTGGTGTGCACAGAATTTTGCTGAATTAAAGTGAAATGCTATTTTGGAAGAGGGGACGGAGGAGGACATGTGGGACTGAGATATGTGTCCAAGTAGAAGACAAGACCCACGCAAAACCTCCTCAGTTAACATTCCCACACCTCGCTACCAATCCTTACTTCCAGTGGACAAAATGACTTGGCCCTCCCTTTCCTATAGCTAAGCTTTGTCGCCTCTGCATTGCTGATGACCCTTACCCAACCCTCTCCTGGCCAACCTCCCTCACTGCAGCTAAGCGATCGTCCCTCAGGTCCTCCATCTTCCATCTCCCTTTCCTCTTACCTAATGTCCCTCAATTGCTGCTCCTACCAACATCCATCGCCTACAGGAGCTAACAGCTCAACTCCTAAGGTTAGTGATTGAATGTTCTCCTGGCTTACCTCCCTCACCACCTACGGGCATACAGCTCTACCCACAATGCAACTTCCCTGTCACACCAGGCCACTACCTGCCACCTCGCCTGTCTCCACAGCCCCCCCCCCCCCCCCCCCGCCACCCCTCCTTATGTCTCACGATCCTTCTCTCTCCCTCTTCCCTCTCCCTCTCTCTCCTGCCCTCCCGGCCACTTTCACACTTTGATCCCATCCCTGGTTAATGTTGCTCACAGCCCACTCCCAACACCAACCCTGACACTCACCTCTTCCTGGCTAATATCGTCCATGGTGCCCTTGGACAGTGGTAACTTGATGTCCTGCATCTTGCAGGCCTGTAGCAGGTTGTGGCGGTCACTGCGCTTCTGTTCAAGCTTGGTCTCAATGGCTGTCACCTCCTTTTGTAAATGCGTCATTTCCCTACGAGGATCCAGGGACACAGGTGAGACCCAGATCCAGCAGGCTGCCTGCCATACCTACTTGCCCCAACCCCAGGCCTGAACCCACTCACTTGTTGGCGCCCCCCAGTTTCTTACGAATCTCCTCCATCTCGTGATTCTTGTCATTCACCTCGGACTTCTTGGCCAGGTGCTGGTTCTTCAGATCCTGCAGCTGGGCCATGGTCTCATCTATGATCTTCATGTGTCTTTGTTCCTCCTGGTCCCGGCAAGGGGAACAGGACAAGAGGTGAAGGCTTTCCTTTTCCCTCTGTCCCCACCCTTTTCCGTTTGGGGGAGCTCTGCTTTCACAAACCTCTCTCACCCCTCAAGCTTCTTCTATCTACTCTACATGCTCTGGTGGCCCATTTTACCAGGTGCTAACAGTGCAGAAGTTCAAACTACAGGAAAAGTATTTAGCGGGGATGGCAAAAACCACTCAAAATCCCACCAGCTAGAGATAAGCAATCAATATTTTAGCCCATTTCCTCCCAGCATTACTTATAGGACAGATCCACAAAGTTAAGGCTAGACTATAATGAAAACTTGATATTTTGACTTGTTATTCTGGTGCATTTTTGCCAAATCAAAACTACTGTTGTGAACTATAGAATAACATCAATGTGTTCTTTCAAACCCACACAAACAATATGGCGGATTTTTTCCATGAGTACACATACATGGATGCTGAAGTATTCAAGTTAACCAATACTTGCAGATTTGGAAGATACACACTCCGTGCAGTTTGCCCCGGGAAGAATAAAGGGGCTGGGAATGAGTGGTCAGTCACAGGGGACTATAGTCTGATTGTTTAAAAGGGATGTTTTGTTTTCATTTTGACCTTCAAGTCACATAAAGAGGACATATTGACAGCTTACTCTCAAATGTCTCATAAAAAGTATATGCACAGCTTGCTGAATCTGGTTTGGCTCAGTGGATAGAGCGTCAGTCTGTGGACTGAAGGGTTTCAGGTTCGATTCTGGTCAAGGGCATGTACCTTGGTTGCAGGCACATCCCCAGTGGGGGATGAGCAGGAGGCAGCTGATCGATGTTTCTCTCTCATCAATGTTTCTAGCTTTCTATCCCTCTCTCTTCCTCTCTGTAAAAACTCAATAAAATATATATTAAAAAAAAAAAAAAGTATATGCACAGCCCAGACAGCATGGCGCAGTGGTTGAGCATCAACCTATGAACAAGGAGGTCACAGTTCAATTCACGGTCAGGGCACATGCCCAGGTTTTGGGCTCTATCCCATATGGGACATGCAGGAGGCAGCCAATCCATGATTCTCTCTCATCATTGATGTTTCCATCTCTCTCTCCCTCTACCTTCCTCTCTTAAAATCTATTTTAAAAATATTTTTTAAAAAGAATATGCATGCCGAAGCCGGTTTGGCTCAGTGGTAGAGCGTCGGTCTGCGGACTGAAAGGTCCCAGGTTCGATTCCGGTCAAGGGCATGTACATTGGTTGCGGGCACATCCCCGGTAGGGGGTGTGCAAGAGGCAGCTGGTCGATGTTTCTCTCTCATCGACATTTCTAGCTCTCTATCTCTCTCCCTTCCTCTCTGTAAAAAACCAATAAAAATATATTTAAAAAAAAAAAAAAAAAAAGAATATGCATGCACAGAGAGTCTGGAAAAGCAAATATGGCAACATGGTAATGACTAAGGAATCTTGGTGATGGGGACATGGAGTTCTTCTCATGCTCTCCTTCCTCACCTTCTTGAGCTTTTCTATCTCATTCTCATCCTTTTTCACCGTTTGCTCCCACATGTGTACTTTATCCTGGTCCTCCTTCAATTGGTTCTTTTCAAAGTCCAACTGGATGCCCAAGCGAGTCTTCTGATTCTCAAACTCCAGACTGTGGGGAGAAAGGAGAACTAGGCCCAGGATGTAGGGATCCAGGGTTACTGCTAAATAGCAGTCACCACCCAGCCCATCCACCCACATCCACATAAATAAAACTGTTCCCTGAAGTTGGAGGACTAAGTTCCTTGGCCAGGCCTTGTGCAAATGGCACCGGCCAGGGGGAACCGCGCCAAAATGCAGTAGTCTCCCTTTAACCACTGCGGGACTCCAGACCCTCCACCCACAACTTCCTAGGTGGAAGCACAAAAAGGCCCACCTCAACCACCCAGCTGGAATTCCTATTTACTAAGCTTCTGTGTGCTTCACGTACATTACCTCTAATCCCCTAACAACAGCTTCACGACTAGGCATTATTATCCTCATTTTACAAATAAGGAGACGTGGGCCAAAAGGTAAAGACCACAGAGCTAGTAAATGGCAAATGTGAGACTGAAACCCAGCTCTCGCACCAAACCCAGGCTCCTTCTCCCGTGGCAGTGGTGCAGTCTGGTGTGGTGGGATGAGAGGATCGGTATCCCAACTCTGCCATTTACTAGTCGTGTACTCTCGGGCAAGTTAGTTATCCTCTCCGTGCCTGTTTCCTCATCTGTAAAATGGCAACAATAATAGTACTTACCTCGGAGTTACTGGGAGTTAATATGTATAATGTCCTTAGAACTATGCCTGGCACCCAGTTAAGTACTCAGTAAACTGTAGTTACCATCATTACTGCCAGGTATTCTCTTATATTGACTCGTTCCAACTACTGCCCATACATGTGTACCCCCACCCCAAGATTCCAGAACTTCTAAGGGGTAGTAGAGCTTGGGTATAAAAAAAAAAAAAAAGAGAGAGAGAGAAAATACTAGATTCCTGCTATTGCCCTCCTCGCCATCTCTTCAGAACTCAAGAACATGTAACCAGCATCCAGATACTTCCTGCGGCCCCACACCCCCAATGTGGTGTCATAGATGCTGCCAGATGTCATGCTGGCAGTTTAAACCTATTAGTCACTATAATCCAAATGAGATGTAATTGACTCTATAATTTTGAGCTATGCAATTTGAAGTCCAATCTCCTAAGCATGACTCATAAGGCCCTGTGATCTGGCCCCCGCTGACCTCCCCACCGTCCCCGCCTTCCACCTGACCCCGTTTCTGTGCTGCAGACATTCGGAACTCTGTAGTTTCCAGAACAAGGCGCGGCGATCACTTCAGAGCATGCTGTTCTCGCTGCCTGGGACTCTGCTGCCTGGCTGGCTAGATCCTACTCACTCTACAGGTCTCCATTTCATCACTCCTTGTTCTGGAAACCTTTCCCGGAGGCTGTGAGCAGGTTCTTAGTTTCCTGTACACTTTGCTGGATTCCTCCCGTTTTAGCCGTTGAGCTAATCACATCCCACAGTTTCTAACGCATTTAGGATTGCTGTCTGTGCAAGACCCTTCCTTTGTCTCCTCCGGTCCACTCCCTGATTGTCACTCCCCTCATAGTCTTTATAGTGAGCGTGCACTCCGCGAAGCAACAGACTTACATATTTACATGAACATATGTGCACAGACTTAAAATGCATATCCTTGTAAAATGCCTTTTTTTTCAATTTACACGAATGCATGATGCTGTACATTTATACAGGGCACTGCCCATAAATCTAGTTCTTGCTTTAAACTGCCATTATAGTGTTCAGGAGTCTGTAGATTCATCACATGTAACTTATACTTTCCCCAGTGATGGCTGTCTACATTGCACCAACAGCCTACTGCCAAATTATGACAAGATAACCCCCCCTGAATGTGTCCCCTTTGCGACCCTGTGGCAAGACTCTCCGAGATACATACCCAGGTGTGGCTTTGATCAAGTCACAGGACTTCCGGAGACTTATTTTCACTGAATACCTCTAGATTGTTGTCATTTACATTTCTCTGATTAGGAATGAGACTGAACATCACTTTGTAATTAGCCATTCAAGCTTCTCTTTTCATGACATGCTAACTACTTCCCCTGTCCAATTTTCCATTGGGTCTCTTGTTTGGATTTTTCCTCTTGTTGATTTGAAGTTCCTTGACCATTTCCTTTGTATTTCCTATCTACCTAAGGTACAGTATTGATCATACTAATCTGAAGTTGCTGATCTACTTGTTTGTCTCCCCTACTACTCCATAACTCAACTCGCTGAGGGCAGCGAGTTTCTAGCTCAATTCTCTATCCCTTGAGCTTGGCTAGGGGGTAGAACAATGAATATTTAATATATGGGTCGTGGGCTATCGGAGCTGCCAATTGAGGCCCAGGGACCAGCAGATAAACTCCTTCAGGGAGACTCATCTGCCTCATCCCCATCTCCCACCCCCCTCCAATACCTGGCACAGGACAACTGGGCTCAACACGGGTCCTCAAGAAAGGTCTGCTGAACAAATGAATAAACCGAAGTGGGGAGGAGAGGAAAAACTGTTGTTTTATTCTTACTGTTCTTCTAACCTGGAACTTTGTTACTCCTCGCCTGCATTGCCTATCAGGATAATGACAATAATAAAAGCTAATATTTGCTTGGCCAGTGTGGCTCAGTGGTTGAGCGTATACCTATGTATGAGCCTGGGGGGTCAGTTTGATTTCTGGTCAGGGCACATGCCTGGGTTGCAGACTCGATCCCCAGTAGGGGGAGTGCAAGAGGCAGCCAATCAATGATTCATCATTGATGTTGCTCTCTCTTGCTCTCTCTTCCTCTCTGAAATCAATAAAATATATCTTTAAAAAAACACAAAACAAAACAACACTTCAGGATTATTTTTAAAAAGCTAATATTTATTGCTCTTAGTAGGTGTTATTATGCTAGATGCTTTGTAAGGATTATTTCGCCTGATCCGTCCAACAATGCCATGCATGACACAGGTATCATTATCCCATTTTATAGATAAGGAAATGGGAGCTGAGAGAGATCAAGTCACTGTCCAACACAAGTTGTGGAGCTGGGATTTTTAAAATATATATTTTATTGATTTTTTACAGAGAAGAAGGGAGAGGGATAGAGAGCTAGAAGCATCAATAAGAAACACCCATCAGCTGCCTCCTGCACACTCCCCACTGGGTATGTGCCAGGGCAACGCTCCATCCACTGAGTCAAACCGGACAGGGCTGGAGCTGGGATTTAACCCAGGTAAACCACATTTCAAGTTGGCACTCTTAACCACTGGACTGTGCGACTCCACCCCCCTAATGTCCCTGTTCTCTAAGGCTGAGCTATAATAAACGCCCATCTCTCTAAGAGCTGCTCCCAGCCTCATGACAGCACCTGCCTTTCCAGGATGTCAGGCTGGGGTCCCAGAGGCACTGCAGTCTCTACACTTACCGCTTCTTGGCGATCTCATTCTGCCTCTTCACCTTCTCTTCCTCAAACTCCCGAATGTTACGCACACCAATCTCCCGACAAAACTCTTCAAACACCTCATCCTCTACCTGACAGAAGCGAAGGAGGGCAAAGGCGCTTTGGGTCAGAGTGTGATTGCAGGCCCAGCCCTGCCCCCGATGCACACGCTGGCCTGGCTCCTCCACCAACCTGGTTCATCTTCTCCTTCAAGTCTTTCATTTCCCTCTCTCGGCTCTGGATGATCCTCTTGATGTCATTGATGCGAGGCCCAAAGTTGGCTAGCTCACTCTCCAGCTTGGACTTTTCCTGCAGGAAATGGGTGGAGAGGGTAAGAAGAGACCAGGCTCCTTAGAGGAAGGAGCCACCGGAGCTCCCTGGCCATGGACACAAAGGGCTGTCTCTTCACACGCTGAGAGAACGTGACAGCGCCAGCCAAAGCTCCAGCGTCTCTCCAACTACCACAGAGCTTCAGAAGTTTGAGAAAACGCACACTTTTTAATTTTAGAAAAAGGCAAAACTACACACACACACACACACACACACACACACACATTACATAACCCTTCCAGGGTGGTCTGGGGAAGCATGTCATGATCAAACACATTAACATCTAGAAAAGCACCCCACACAGGGACTGAAATGTCTATAGCTCACTTTCAATTCACTTTTAGAAGACGCTCAAATATTGATTAAATGAATGAATTCTGCTAATAATAGCCCCTAATATTCGCTGAGCACTTACGGGGTGCAAAGAATCAGTCTAAGCACTTTACATGTACTAACTCATTCATTCTTCACAATGGCCCTAATAAAGCAAGTGGTATCCTAACTACCATCTTACAGCTGACGATAAAAAACTTACACCGATAGGTTAAGTGACTCGCATCATGTGACACAGAGCCAAGATTTGAACCCCTGGCTGGCTGACTTTGCGCTATGCTTAGTTCCCTGGAGCAGCCTGGGAGAGAAGGGAGCGGGACAAATCCTCTACCCCCCGAGAAAGCTGGCCTTTAAGAACACAGGGCTGGGGCCACACCCCACCTGCAGGTTCAGGGCTAGATGGCGTGTCTTGGTCTGCTCCAGGTCGCTCTGGGAGTACTTGAGCCGCATCTGCAGCCCGTGGGCCTGAGACTGCACCTGACGCAGCTCTGCCTCTTTCCTCTTGGCCTTCATCTGCTCCTGAAGTGGACAAGAAAGGAGGGCGAGGTGGTAAGAAGGCGGCTGGCCTGAGCTCAGGACCCCCCCCTCCCAGGGACAGCGTAGCCAGCAGCTTACTTTCAGCTCCTCTGTCAACCTCTCCTTCTTCTCTTTCAATTTGTCTACCGCCTTCTCGTCCCAGCGCCGCGCCTTGGCCTTCAGGTCACTGGCCCCGCCAGAGATCACGCCTGACTTCTGGAACAGGGTCCCATCCAGAGCCACTGTCTGCACACAGGAGGGAGAACAGAGAAGGAGAAGCTGAACAGACGGATCTCCAATACCAAGCCAGCCTGCCCAGCTCCAATCTGGGCGAGGGAACCCGTACCTTGTGGCGCTGGTGGCCTCCGAAGGCAATGCGGCGGGCATCCTCCACGTTGTCACAGACAAGGGCGTTGCCACAAGCGTACTGCAGGGCCTTTTTGATGTGGGGTGGCTCGTAGCGAATGACATCGATCACCAGCTTGGCCCCCTTCAGTTCCCGGAGCTTCTCATCAGTAGGTTTCACCTGTAGGAAGAAGCTCGGTAGGTGGCAGAACAGGGGGGTCTAGGAGGGTCCTTGGCGCACCATCTTGACACCAGCCTCACCTCCAGGTAGTCAAGAGGCAAGAAGGTCTCGGGCTCCCCACGCTGCTCCTTGATGTACTGAATACAGTCCCGGCCTGTCTTCTCCGAGTCCACAATTATGGCGTCCATGTTCTTGCCCAAAACCTTGGTCACGGCGATCTGATACTTCTTTTGTGTGGGCTGGCAGAGGTCAATCAGGCGGCCGTACTGAGCGAGGCACAAAAGGAAAAGAAAGCCTGAGACCTTGGGGAGCTGGCTCAGAAACCCCAATGGCCTGCGTGGGCAGATCAGAGTCTGTGGCAGGAACATAGCCCCCGGGCTATGAAGAAAAAGCCTACTCTGACCCCAAGGCAATCCAAAATCACCCTTGCTGAACCTCACTTTAACCATTTCACAACCTGCTGCCTTCCCAGTCATCCTACATGCATGATCTCAAATTCTCACCCGTGCCCAGCAAAAGAAACCTCTTTTCCCAGTTCATCTGCCCCCGTTCTCCCCAAACCAACCATGGTTCCCTAAGAATTAACAGATGAAGGGAAAGATCTTCAAGGGCAGGGCCTGAGCCTAATTCGCCCATATAAACTCCCCAGCAGTGTCTAGAGGAAAGATCAGGAAATATTTATCGAGCCCAATTAAGCTGAACCCAGGGATGGGATTCCAGATCCGAAAAAGCCAGGCAAATGAGCGGATTGGTTCATAGCAAGGGAACTCATATTGAAGCCTGCACAGAGCTACTTCCGGGGAGACTGATTTCTGCCCCATGGCCTCTCCCCCTTCCAAGGGTCTCTCTATTCTCCCTGCCACCCACAAGAGTGGACACAGCAAGGCAAAACCTTCAGGAAGAGGCAACCGATGTGATAAAAAGGACACGAGGTTAAGAATCGGAACAAGTTGGTGTGAACTGCAGTTCTTTCACTCATAAGCTGTGCTCTCGGACAGGTCAATTTAACCTCACAGTTCCCCCAGCTGTAAAAAATGGAATTAACAGGGCTGCTGGGGAAATGATCTGACTGAGTGTGAAAGCAAGTGCTCAGGAAATGAGTGTTCTCTCTCCGCTCTCACCACGGAGCCTGGGTAGAGACGTTTGATGCTCTCCATAATCTCTGCCTTGCGCTGCTGGCGGCTGCTCTCCTGGCGGTCGATGCGGGCGTCCCCCAGCTGCTCCATCACCTGGTTCAGCTCCTTATTGATCTCATCAATACGCCGCTTGGCCATCTCCACCTCCTCCGTCAGCTCCCCCTCCAGCTTCTTCTGCTCCTCCAGAGACTGCCTATAGAGTAAGGGGACAAAGGAGTTATCCTGGCTGGTCAGGAAATACTTCCGGCTCAGAGGGCCTGGGGGGGGGGGGGGTCTCTCTCTGCCTGGGGAGGGTTGGGATAGGGAGGGGTCACAAGAATAGCCCCAGCAGGTGGAGGCAAGGCTGTAGAGCCACATACTTGCTAGTCGTGATGTACTCCTCCAGTTTCTCAATCCGCTTCTGATTCTCTTCAATCTCCCGCAGCTTCTGCTTGATCTTGGCCTGGAAGAGAGACAAATACACTCCATCAGCAAGGGCTGAGCAAGGGAACTCCAAGACCATGGGGCCTGGGCTTACAGCCCCTATGTGCCTGCTTATCCTAAGCCCAACAGTCCAGGACAATGTCATTATTGCAGGCCTACTAAAAAGCAGCCACACAGCCCGGCTGGTGTGGCTCGGTTGAGAGATGTCCCAGGCACCAAGAGGTCACCGGTTTGATTCTTGGGCAGTGCACATGGACAGGTTGCAGGCTCGATCCCCAGTAGAGGGTGTGCGGGAGACAGCCCATCAGCGTTTCTATCTCTCTATCCCTTTCCCTTCTTCTCTCTGAAATTAATAAAAACATTTCTCTAAAAAGCAGATACACAGACAGTGCTCCATGAGCTCTGCTGACGAGGCCTGGGCTCTCTTCCTCACCACTCAGGGAGGCTCAAACCAATGCCAGGGAAAGCTTTCTGGGCCTTTCTGCACCTGTTTAGTCATCTGTGAAATGTAGGTAACCGCCACTTCAGAAATAATGTGATTAAGTGCTTAATATAGGGGAGCTATTAATATTGACACCTACCGCCAAAAGAAGTGCTTAGCAGAATACCTGGAATGCTGAGTTCTTGGGGTAATATGACAATTTTTCTTTGCTTTTTTGTTTTACTTTTATTTTTATTTATTGATTTTAGAGAAAGGGAGAAACATAGTTTTATCGTTCCAATCATTTATGCATTCATTGGTTGATTTTTTAAAATTTTTATTATCTATTTATTTAACACATATATATTTTTTAAAATATATTTTATTGATTTTTTAGAGAGAGGAAGAGAGAGAGATAGAGAGCCAGAAACGTCGATGAGAAAGAAACATCGGCCAGCCACCTCCTGCACACCCCCCACCGGGGATGTGCCCGCAACCAACATATATGCCCTTGACCGGAATCGAACCCGGGACCCTTCAGTCCACAGACCGACGCTCTACCACTGAGCCAAACTGGTTTTGGCTATTTAACATATTTTTATTGATTCCAGAAAGGAAGAGAGAGAAAGAAACATCAATGATGAGAGAGAATCGATTGGCTGCCTCCTGCAGGCCCCTACTGGGAATCGAGCCCACAACTCGGGCATGTGTCTTTGACCAGAATTGAACCCGGTCAGTCCACAGGTTGACATTCTATCCACTGAGCCAACCAATGGTCTGAGGCCATTGGTTGATTCTGACAGGGGATTGAACCCACAACCTTGGCGTATTCAGACAATGGTCTAACCATTGGTCTAACCAACAAGCAAGGGCCATACCCCTTTTCTATTCTTGTTATTATTTCACTATCATTATTATTAGGACAGTAAATGAAGTATACTTGATAAGAGTGTGGGCTTTAGAGCTAGACTGGCCAGGTTCATATCCTGGTTCTGCCACTTAATAATGAAGTGACCGTAGGTAAATTGCCTCACCTCTGTGCTCCAGTTTCCTCATTTGGAAAAGCAGATATTAAATGAGTGAATACATGTATAGTGCCCAACACACAGTAAGTACTTGCTCGATGTTAGCTGTTGTCGGTACAATTAAGATGACCATTACTTCCTTTTCTCTGGACCATCATCCCCAATCTTGTAACATGCCCACCTCTGTCTCTACTTTCTTCCTCTCTTCCAGATCCAGCCGGTCCTGGTCAGCTTTCTGGTCTCGATTGAACTTCTCCAGCTCCTGAGCCAGAGTAGCTGCTCTCTTGCTGGCTTCTTCTTTCAACCGGTGGTACTTCTTCACCTGTGTTAGAGACAGGGAAGGAGGACACAGATGGCCGGTCAGTGCACGTCAGCCCAGCAATCTCCCCATGCTCCCCCACAGCACCCCCAAGCCTACCTGATTCTCCTCCAGGGTCAAGTCTCTGCCCTGGCTCTGACTCTCCTCTTCCATCCGCTCCTCAAACTCCTGCCGGGCTTTCTCCACCGAGAGCATCTCCTTTTCCAGCTCATCCATGTCGCCTTTACGCTTCTTGTAATGCTTCTGAGCGTTCTGTAGGGACTTCTTGGCTGCTTCCAGCTTCTTGATTTTGTGGGAGGTGTTCTCCTTGGCTTTGATGTATTGAGGCCGCTTCTGGTTCAATTCTGAGTCCTTTTCCCTTTTGTCAGAGGGGAAGGAAAGAACAAGTCAGCACTGTTGGAGAAGGGAGGGTTCCTAGGTTTTTTACCCAAAGAAAGGAATGCCTGAGCCCCTCCACACACACACACACACACACACACACGCACACACACACTCTCTCTCTCTCTCTCTCTCTCTCTCTCTCTCTCTCTCTCTCTCTCTCTCTCTCTCGTACGCGCGCGCGCACACACAGCCAGCCCCAGGGAACTGCCTATGAATAAGGACGTGATGCCCCACAGGGGCTGATTATTCCCCCTGGGACCTACTGCCTGGCATTCCAGGCCCTCCATAAGGTTAAAGCTGCCACCCTGGCCTCAATCAGCCAGGCCAGAACCCTCATAACAACTCTGATAATATCCTGTGTTAGCTGGGCCCCATCTGAACTAGTCTTTTAAAATTCCTGTCCCTGCCCTAGCCAGTTTGGCTCTGGGTGTAGAGCATCAGCCTGCTACTGAAGGGTCCCGGGTTTGATTCCAGACAAGAGCACGCACCTTAGTTGTAGGCCCCTCCCCAGCCCGGGCCCTGGTCAGGGCACATGCAGGAGGCAACCAATCAATGTGTCTCTCACATCGATATTTCTCTCCTTCCCTCTCCTTTTCACTCTTTCTAAAAATCAATGGGAAAATGTCCTCAGGTGAGGATTAAAAAATGACCTGGGATTCTCATCGCTTCATCACTCTTTCAAGTTCTCCCTCTTCTGAGCACCTATCGACCCAGAGCCTGAGTATTTAAATGCTCTATTTGTCTAAAATGCAAGTCAAGCCCTAGCCGGTTCAGATCAGAGGCTAGAGTGTCAGCCTGTGGACTGAAGGGTCCCAGGTTCGATTCCAGTCAAGGGTACATGCCTGGATTTCGGGCTTAATCTCATTGTGGAGCAGGCATGTAGGAGGCAGCCGATCAATGATCTCTCTCATTGATATTTCTACCTCTCTCTCCCTTCCTCTCTGAAATCAATAAAAATATATATTTTTTAAAAAATAATTTAAAAAATAAAAAATAGCCATAACCGGTTTGGCTCAGTGGGTAGAGTGTTGGCCTGCGGATTCAAGGGTCCCAGGTTCGATTCCAGTCAAGGGCATGTACCTTGGGTGCAGGCACATACCCAGTAGGAGGTGTGGAGGAGGCAACTGATCGATGTTTCTAACTCTCTATCCCTCTTCCTTTCTCTCTGTAAAAAATCAATTAAAAACATATATTAAATAAATAAATAATAGCCAAAACCGGTTTGGCTCAGTGGATAGAGCGTCAGCCTGTGGACTAAAGGGTCCTGGGTTCAATTCCGGTCAAGGGCACGTACCTTGGTTGCGGGCACATCCCCAGTAGGGGGTGTGCAAGAGGCAACTGATCGATGATTCTCTCTCATCGATGTTTCTAACTCTCCATCCCTCTCCCTTCCTCTCTGTAAAAAATTAATCAAATATATTTAAAAATAAATTAACTAATTAATTAAAACAAAATGCAAGTCAGGGGGAAAATAAAGAAACTAACATGGACAGCTGAACTCCAGGCTGCGGGACAGTCTCTTGGTTTCCCATGAATCGCCCGCCCACGCCTGTCTCTTACTTGATCTCCTTCTCAATCTGCTGCTGCTCCCGCATCATTTTGCCCAGCTCCTTCTTCTTCTCCTTCAGCTCGTCCTCCACCTTGTCCATGCGCTTCTTGTCCTTCTCGATCTCCTTGTTCTTGGAGGCCAGCTCCTTATTGAGCTTCTCGATCTCCACCTCGTTGTGGTACAGCTTAAAGAGCTGCAGCTGCACCTGCGCGCGCACCACCTCGTCTTTCAGGCGCTGGTAGCGGTCGGCCTGTGCGAATAGGGGCAGAGGTTAGGGGTTGCATCAGTAAAGCATTTCCCCCCCCCCCCCCCCCCCCCGATCCTCTCTCAGGGCCCAGAGGCAGCCTAGCCGCCACCTACCTCTTCCTTCTCTTGTTTGGCCTCCTTGCGTTCCGCTGCGATGTTTTTCTTGCGGTGGTAATTGAACTGCGTGTCCTCCTCGGCTTTTACCATTTCCTTCTTCCGCTTGTCATATTCTTGGGCCAGCTCTCCAGAGCGACTGATCTCTTCAAAGAGCGCCGTCCTCTCTTTGGGGTTTTTCATGGCGATAGATTCCACGGCACCCTAGTAAAGGTCAAAACACTCTCCCCACTTAGCCTCTGGCCAGCCGGCTCCTCCGACCTACTCCCGCTCCATCTCTCAGAAGGTCTCTGAACCCTCTCCCCACACTGGGCTCTGAGGACACGTCCCTGGCCTTGTGAGGTGCGCGGAAAGCAAAGCCAAGCCAAGCCACCGCCACGTATTATAAGCAGCAACAGAAGCAGCACAGAGGGCTGAATGGAGCCTGGGGACAGGAGACGGGCATGAGTGTCTACACGGAAAGGTTCCCCGGGGGAGTGCCTAAGCCGACTTTGGAGGATGCGGAAGGTGGGAGAGACGAGGTTATTCTGTGTAGAGAAAAATGAACGTGCACAGGCCTCCAGTCCAAAGCAAGCGGGTGAATGTGGGGAACGGAAAATGGTTTCGCCGGTCTGGAGGGCAGGGATGGAGGGAAGGGCATCGGCAGGTGAGGCCAGGGAGGCAGTCAGGAGCCAAAGGATGGTGTTTCCTGAGTGACAGGGGTTTGGGTTTCGTGCTGAGGCAGCGGTTCTCAAACGTTCGCGTGTGCGATCATAACCCGGAGGGCTTGGTGAAACACACACCACCCGTGTCTGAGGCTGTAGGCCTGGGATGGAGCCTGAGGATGTGCGTTTCTAATAAATATGTCGCCGGTGCTACTGATCTGGAGACGCCACGGGCCAGACTGGAGGGAGAAAGCTGCTCCATTAGTTCAGGGCAGAGAGGAAGCCAGAGACGAAAGCAGGCCCACGGGCTGGCAAACAGCAGAAAGCCAATAACGGTTAAAAAAAAAAAGCCCACCTGGAAGACGAGGAAGTTACGAGCTTTGATGAGAATGCCCAACTTCTCTAACTCCTCACTGTACTCGTGTAGCTGGACCACTTTGTTGTTGATCTTGTACTCAGAGGAACCCCCTACAAGACAAGTCGCCAAGGGTCAGGTTTTCCTCCCCAGCCACCTAGCCTAGCGGTGCTCCGGGACCCGGGGAGAGGCCCTGGCCAGCCGCACTCACCAACAATGACCCGGGCAAAGGTGCGGTCCTCGGCGCCCTCCTCGGAGTAGACCATGCTGACGAAGGCCCGGTTGGCGGCGGGCTTGCCCACAGGAGCTCCGTGGATCAGATCCCTCAGGGTCTTTACTCGCAGGTTGCTGGTTTTCTCGCCCAAGACAAAGCTGATGGCATCCATGAGGTTTGACTTACCTAAGGGGGGAGGGGAAGTCAGGAAGAAGGGGAGAGGAAAGGAATTAAGGAGATATTGAGAGGAACGGGAACGTTCCCTAAGCACTCACTTCTCAGACTCCGGGGGAGAAAATATTGCTCATAAAGACCGAGCCCAACCAAGGCTCTGGGTCAAAGGCTTAGAAAAACGTCCCTCTGCAGCTGTTACTTACAGCAGCCGAAAGCTAGAACCACATCTAAGGAAATGGTATATTTATAGAATAGATTGTTCTACAACCTTTAACTGGGTTTTGTTTTGTGTTTTAACCGACTTCAGAGAGAGGAAGGGAGAGGAAGAGAGGAAAAAACAAGTGTGAAAGAGGAACATCGATTGACTGCCTCCTGCATGCCCCCTACTGGAGATTGAGCCTGCAACCCCGGGTATGTGCCCTGACCAGGAATCGAACCCACAACTCTTTGGTGCGTGGGATTATGCCTCAACCAATCCTCCAACCAACTGAGCCACACCTGCCAGGGCTGTTCTACAACCTTTAATAACATGGGGAAATACCCACAGTAGGAAAAACAAACAAGATACAAAACTCAATCTATGCCCTAGCCGGTTTGGCACAGTAACAAGAGCCTCAGCCTATGGACTGAAAGTTGAAAGTTCAATTCCCAGCCAGAGCACACACCCAGGTTGTGGCTTTGATCCCTGTTCTCCCTCTCTCCCCCTTCCTCTTTCTCTAAAATCAATAAAAACATATTCTTGAATGGGGATTTTTTTTTATTTTAAAGCCTACATAATAAAGAAGTAATATGCAAAATGGTCGTTACACTGTGACACGTAACAACCAGCGGAGATACAGGAGGGCGGGGCAGCGGGTGGAGAGCCACAGGATGGGGAGGCCAGCTGAGACACGCAGCAGCGAAGTACTCCTGGGCAGGGCTACTAGTTATGAAATAAAAATGAAAGTCGTTACAATAGCAAATTTGTGTGTGTGTGTGTTTTGCCACCATTTTTTACAAGGCATATTATTCTATTGTGATACAATATGAAGGACACAGAAACTAGGAAGTATCTTTCCAAAAATATTTAACCTGAATGTAAACAAGTCTTTAGATCTCCCTTCGGGTTAACAGGAAATACGGCAGTTAGAGGAACAGGGTAAGCCACCATGAGGAGACCTTAGGACAAACACAATGTGGGATGTTCTACAAGACAGCTGGCCTGGGAATTTTCAGAGTCAATGTCAAAAAAGAAAGGTTAGGAGAACCCTTCCAGAACACCAGAGATTACTGAGACATAAGCAAAGGCGGTACATGAACTCCGATTGGATTTTGTCCCTCCTCAAAACCCCCCGAGACATTTTTGGGAGCAATTAGGGAAGCCTGAATATGAACTGGATGATTGATGACATGAGGAAATTAACTGTCTTAGGTGTGATAACGGTATATTGGAAACACAGAAGAATGGTTTTAGGAGATGAATGCTGAATCCCTTAGAGGTGAATGTCATTAAGTCTACAATTTACTTGCAAATGACTAAGCAGAACATATATGTATGTCTGAAAATTTTCATAATAAAAACTTGGGGAGAGGGAAAGGCACAAGAAGAAGAAAAAAAAAAAACACATGAAAATGTAAACAGTCTAACCGTAGTCACTTCGGGAAAGGAAAGTAGGTAACAGGTCAGGGGAGAAATGGAATTTTTATTTTTCTTGTATATCCCCTGGGATTTTTTTTTTTTTAAATTTTCTACCTTGTGCATTTATTAGCTATTCAAGCAAATATGCTTGTTAACATTAAGAGTGGTTATCTCTTCAGTAGAGAAGTCACAGTTTTTATTTTCTTCAGTTTAGACTCAGAAAAAAATAGTTTTAAAAATGTAGACTGGGGTTAGAGGGGAGGGAACAGTTTAATCTCTGTAAATTATATCTCAAGGTTCTCCCCAAACAGGTTATGTGACGGAAATGAGGATCTGATTTCTAACACCTGTCTACAATCCAGCTACAAAAATGGTAGCCCGGGTCCTTCCACGGAGGCAGTTTGAGACAGAGACTAAGAGCTTGGGTTCTAGGCAGGTGTGGCTCAGTAGGCTGGGCCCTGTCCCATGCAGGCTTGATCCCCAGTAGGGGAGGGGGTGTGTAGGAGGTGGCCAATTGATGTTACATTCTCACGTGGATGTTTTTCTCTCCCTCTCCCTTTCTCTCTCTCTCAAAATCAATAAACTATTTTTTTTAATGTTTTGGGGGATGGGTGTGGGGTGGAGGGGGTCAATGGGGACAAAAGGGAGACATCTGTAATACTTTCAACAATAAAGGAAGGTGGGGGAGGGATGGGAAGAGACTAATCAAAGAACTTATATGCATATATGCATAACCCATGGACACAATAGTGTAGTGAAGGCCTGGGGCAGGTTGGAGGAAATGGGAGGGGCAGGGGTAGGCTAAAAGGGGTCCATGCGGGGAAAGAGGGGGGCATCTGTAATACTTTCAGCAACAAAGATAGCAAAGAATCATATTTGGTTCAACAGTTAACAATTAAGTTGTTAACAAGTTTTAAAATCTATATGAAGAGCTTCAAAATAAAACAACAACAACAATAAAGATAAATTTAAAAAGAAGAAAAAAAAAAAAAGCTCGGGTTCTAGTCCAATAAATTAGGTTGTATTTAGTTTCACTACTTCTTAGCTGACATCATCTGGAAAATGGAGAAGCCACGCTGCGCGGACAAAGCACCTAAAACAATGCTTGGCACAGAGTCCTCCACTGGGGTGCTCCTGCCACAAGCATAGGTTCTAGTCCTGGCTCCGGGGATCAGTGTGTACGTGATCGCAACCCTTAGCGCCTCAGCCTCTTCATATACAAAACACAGACAATGGGATCTCCCCCTTAGGGTCCTTGTGAGGATTTCAATGTAAAAGGGCCCAATAAGTAAAGTCTTCAGCACACAGTAGGTGCTCAATAAATGGCAGTCCTATTCTAACAAGCAGGATTAGCACCCCGTGCACCCCATTAGACACCCATTTCTAACCTGAGGGCTTCTCCGGCGCTCTCCGCAGACCTTAGGAACAGCTCACACTTCTGGCCCAGTAATGAAGATACAAAAACATGCTTTGACTATAAGAGCAATTCACTGCGGGGGATCAAGGAATGCCTCATGGAGGTGGGCATTGAAGGATGGGGGATCAGAGGAAAGGTCAGCCCAGGACCTTTTTGGAACAAATCTACCTACCCATGTGGAGGCGACCAAATTCTAAGAAACTGGGGTGGAACTCCAAGCATTAACCCTCCAAGCCAGTGGTTCTCAAGAGCTTTTAATTTTTTTTTTTGGGGGGGGGGGTAATTTTGCAACCCCCAAGGATGCCTGGAAACATCCTACAATGCACACGACCAACGCCACGGCAAAGAATGACCTCGCTGGAAATGTCAACAGCGCAGCTGTTGAGAAACCCGGCTCTCACTGAGAGCCAAGCAGGCAGGGCTCCAAGGGAGGTCCCAGTTAGAGCCACCTGAATGGAGGCTGGTGAATGATTTAGCCAGAGCAACTCACTCCAGCCTGGAGGAGCACAGCAGGATTGCCAAACGAACTCTGGAGAGGGTAAAGGGGTGACACCCACCGCGTATCATTTAGAGATGGCAGGTTAAGATAGGATACAGAAGCCTGGCCTGATCGCCCTTTCTTTCTCTCCCCCCTCCACCCCCCCCCCCCGTTTTACTGAAATATAACACGCCGTTAGTTTCCGGTGTACAACAATGATTCCGTATTCGTACACATTGCATAATGCCCAGCACTGTACGTTTAGCGGGCATCCGTCGCCTCGCATGATTGCAATGTCTTTGTTGCGATGAGAACGCTTCAGATCTCCTCTCGCAGCTTTTAAAATACACAAGGCAGCGCGGTCGCTAACAGCAGCCGCCACCCAAGCCACTCGCTGATAACATCTGCCGGTCTCGTTTCCGGCACTGCCCTTATCGCAGCAGAGGGAGATTGTATTTTCTCTTTCTTTCTTACGCAAGTTTGCCTGCGAGCGCGGCTCCTTCTAGCCTGCGCTCCTCCCGCAGCCCCTCAAAAGACAGCAGGCACTCAATTCGGGGAGCGAAGCGCATCTGCTGCCTTTGCAGCGCTTTCTGGCGCTGGCATCGGGGCGAGACCGCGGCACAGCCGCCGCTGAGCTGGGAGGGGGGCGGCCGGAGCTGGAGGGCGGAGACCCCAAGCGCCGGGTCTCAAATTCAAAATTGCCCGCCTCCGAAGCAGAGCACACACACACGCACAAAAAGGGGGGCGACATCGGAGCGTACCAACGCGAGGCGGGGCGGGTTAAACGTGCCCTTGGGGACCGGCGGCCACGGGAGGGCTACGAGCGGTCCCACGCCTTGCAGAGGGTGCCTGCGAGGAGGGGATGCAGCTGCCAGCGGACCTGGACCACTTTGGGCGGGAGGGGGGCAGAGGGATGGGGCACGCACCGGGCGGAGCATACCACTCGGGGTGCAGTGGGGGGCCGCGCCAAGAGCGGGCAACTGACATCTGGGGAAGAGGTTCAAGTCAGCGTCCCCGAGCCGGGACAGCGGCTCTGGGCCGTAGCCCCGGAGGAGGAGCGAGGAACCTGTTCGGGTTCGCGGCATTTCAGGTGGCACGGGGCTGGGTCGGACTGTGATAGCGGAGAGGGGTCCCGGGCGGGATGTGCGCAGGGCCGCCGCGGGGTCATCTCACCAGAGCCATTGGGTCCGATGATGGCGGTGAACCTCTGAAACGGTCCGATAATCTGTCGGCCCTTGTACGACTTAAAGTTCTCAATCTCAATCAGTTTCAGGAAACCCATGACGGCGGCGGCGCCGGCGGCGGTACGAATGGCCGCGCCGCGCCGTACGCCGGGAGCTGGAGTAACCTGCGCGGGAAACACCGCGGTGCAAGCCGGGCGGAGAGCAAACCTCGCGAGCTTGAGGGCCCGGCCAGACGGGATTTCCTGCTTCCGGCGCCTGGCCGGAACCGGGGAGGAGGGCTTTCCGGCTGGCGTGAAAGTTTTGTTGACCCGTTGCCAGGATGCGAGCTTACGACACGCGTTTAGAGCCCGCCCCGCCTCCATGTTGCTGGGCAACAGGCGTCGCCACCAACAAAAGCGAATCGCAGCCGAGGAAGCAGACGCGAGGGATCGCGGGTCAAACTTGCTGAGACAAGTCAGAAATCATAATAGGGTTATGCCCTCCGGGGCAGGAGGAAGGTGGGAGATCGGCTGTGGCTGCAGCCTGCCCGGTTAGAAAGCTCAAACAAGAACAGGGTTGGGAAGGAGGGGCCAGCGGGAGGATTCCGTGTTCTATGAACGCAGACTTTGCTGTGGGAGGAGGCGGAGGGAGATGAAATTCGCGGTTTGATGAGGTGTGAAGGGAAATGGGGTATGCAGGGAGGTGTGGGTACTTTAGAGCGACAGGGATATGGGCTGACCAGAGGTCCTACCCTATCCCATCCCCCCCCCCGCCCCCCGTTCTTCCAAGCAGAGTTCGCAGACTGAAGCTGTAGCCCAAGAGCAGGCGTGGACTTGAGCCACTTGTTGGCTCCTGAAGCAGGACCCCAACTAGGAGCTCCAAAGTTGGGAGTCCTTGCTGAGAAAGGTATTTTGTATGAACCCTTTATCCTTCTCTTCCCCCCACTTCCATTCTTCCTCTTCATGCCTTCATTCCCTCCTCCTCACCCCCCTCTGCCCCATCCTTTGCTTCCCCCTTCTTTTCTCTCTCCTTCCTCTCATACACTGCCCCCCAACTCTACCCTCTCTCCTTTCCCCTCTCTATTCCCCATCTAGCAGTCCAAGAAGCTTAAAATTTCTATGGAACCTTCCCTTCAATGACTCATTCCATCTGTCACCACAATGTAAGTATTGTGGTGACAGATGGAATGAATAGGCTGGGGTTAGTCCAGAGGTGAGAAGAGTCTTAGTCTTAGGACAGGTGCAAGAAAGTGAGAAAGTCTGGTTGACAGAATCTAGAAGAGGAGCCATCAATGAAGTTCAACTTGGAGAAACAGTCACCATTAGGCTGAGGGAATAAAATGATCAAAGGACAGCAATCTGACAGGAAATGGAACTTGGGGGCAAATCAAATGGAATCCCTACCTCTCATACCATATGCAAAATACAATTCCAAATAGGTTAAAAACTTAAGTGAGAATGGCAAAACTTTAGAAATTTTAGAAGAATATATGGGAGAATATCTTTATGACCTCATGGGATTTCTTAAATAATAAAAATTAATATAAAAATAATAAAGTGAAAAGATGAGCCACAAATTGGAGATGTTTGCCACATATAAACTAACAAATGGTTGTATAAAATACACAAGGAACTCCTAAAATTAAGAAAAGAGCAAACAACCTGATTCTTTCTAAGTGAACAAAAGAGGACTTATGTAATACTTTCAACACTAAAGAATTATTTTAAAATAAATAAAAATTAAAAATAATTAAAAAATAAAAATAAAAAACGAACAAAAGATGTGAATGGGCACTTCAGAGAAGAGTAAACAAAAATGACCAAAATATACATGAAAAAGTGTACAACCTCATTAGCAATGAGGAAAATTCCAATTAAAATCAATTATAATTTTATAAGCACAAATGGTGAAAAATTAAAAGCCTGCAATACCAAGTGTTGGTGAAGATATGGAATGCCTAAAGTTTTATGCACTGTAGGTTTTTTGTTTTGTTTTTTAAATAAATTTTTATTGATTTCAGAAAGGAAGAGAGAGAGAGAGAGACAGAGACAGAGAGAGAGAGAGAGAGAGAGAGAGAGAGAAGGAAAGAAACAACAATGATGAGAGAGGATCATTCATCAGTTGCCTCTGCACACCCCACACTGGGATCGAGCCCAAAACCTGGGCATGTGCCCTGACCAGGAATGGAACCAGGACCTCCTGGTTCATAGGTTGATGCTCAACCACTGAGCCACACCGACCGGGCTACACTGTACTTTTTATGCACTGTTGGAACAATCTCCTTGGAAATTGTATATATATTAGAGGCCCAGTGCATGAATTCCTGCATGGGTGGGGTCCAGCTAGCCTGACCAGGGGGGAGGGGACATGGGCAGTTGGCTGGCCTGCCTGCTGGTCGAACTCCTGGTCGAGGGGACAATTTGCATATTAGCCTTTTATTATAGAGGATATAAACTGAGGGGCATTCAGAGATCATAATAATCTGGCCACTCAGTGTATAAGTCTCTCATAATCTACAGATTCCTCTTCCCTATTCTTCTCTTACAATTAAAAATAAATAAACTGGGTCGTTTGGGTCATGGAGTCCTTGTCTTTCTTGAAACCACTGCAATCAGGCTTTCAACCCCACAACTCCACCAAAAATATTCTTGACATGGTCATCAACAATCCTCATGTTATTAAGTACACAGAGTTCTCAGTTCTCCATCATCAGTCATTTACTCTCTCCTCCCAAAAGCACTTATTTTGGTTGGCTTCTCTGACACCACACTCCTGGTTTTTCTTCCACCTCACTGGCCATTCCTCCTTCCCTACAGTGCTGGCTCCTCTTCTTCCTGTCTTCCCTTGGACATTCTTATCCATATGCACTCACTACTCCCTTAGAAGTCTACAGCCTTATAGCTGTAGATTCCCTTATATCAGTCAGAATAAGCTAAATCATGCTGAGGTTACAATCTTAAAAGCTCAAAAGCTTATAAAGACAAACATTTATTGAGTGTCGACCTATGAACCAGGAGGTCACAGTTTAATTCCTGGTCAGGGCATATGCCCGGGTTGTGGGCTCGTTCCCCAATAAGGGGAGCATGCAGGAGGCAGCCGGTCCATGATTCTCTCTCATCATTGATATTTCTCTTTCACTCTCCCTCTCCCTTCCTCTCTGAAATCATTAAAAAATATATTAAAGCTGAAACCGGTTTGGCTCAGTGGATAGAGCGTCGGCCTGTGGACTGAAAGGTCCCAGGTTCGATTCCGGTCAAGGGCATGTACGTTGGTTGCAGGCGCATCCCCAGTGGGGGGTGTGTAGGAGGCAGCTGATCGATAACACTCTCTCATCAATGTTTCTAACTCTCTATCCTTCTCTCTTCCTCTCTGTAAAAAAAAATCAATTATATATATATATATATATATATATATATATATATATTTAAAAAAAACAACAATTTCTCATCCCTGCTTCTTGAGTTGGCTGCATCTCTGCTCTATGTCACCACTCCAGGACCCAGGCTGAAGGAGCAGCCATTACCTGGGACCTTGCCAGTCTCATAGCAGAGAATGAAGAAAAAAAGTGGCTATCACCCAGTTGCTTTTAGTTGTGCTTGGCAATGACACATGTCAATTCTCACACTGGAAAGGGCAAAGCAAATCATGTGGCTAACCTTGAGGGCAATGAGATAAGGATGTATAATCCTTCGGTAGGCCCAAATCCTTGAAGTTATTCTTTTTTTTAATATTTTTTTTTTATTTTTGAGAGAGAAAGCGAGATGGGGAGAGACATCAATCAGCTGGACTGAACCCAAAACCCAGGTATGTGCCCTGACCAGGAACCAAACCAGCGACCTCTTGGTGCATAGGATGGCACTCAGTCCACTGAGCAGCACCAGCCAGGCTTGAAGTTATTCTTGACACTGCTCTCACAACTCACATCTAATCCATCATAGTCTTAGTCAGTTCTGCCTTCGAAACATATCCAGAATGTGACCACTTCTCACCACCTCTGCTCTTCCCAATCTGGTGTGAGTCACCATCGTCTCTTGCCTGGACTATTGCTGTAGCCTCCTGTGTGGTCTTCTGGCTTGTAGCCTTGCCTCCCCTAATCCCAGTCTATTATTAACACAGCAACCAGAGTCAAAGGCAAAACACATCACTTCCACTGCTCAAAACCCTCCAATGGCTGCCTGTTTCAGAGTAAGAGCCACAGCCTTTCCACTGGTCTGCAAATTCCTACGTGCTCTGACCCCTGCATTATCTCTCTAATGACATTTTCTACCTACTTCTGTTTTGCTCACACAGTTGCCTCTCTTGAATGTGTGTCCATCTTTTCTTAAGTATATTTTTTATTGATTTCAGAGAGAAGTGGGAGAGAGAGATGGAAACATCCATGATGAGAGAGAATCATTGATTAGCTGCCTCTTGCACGCGCGCGCGCGCGCGCACACACACACACACACACACACACACACACACACTGTGGATAGAGCCCACAACTGGGGGTGGGAGGGCAGAGAGAGAGGGAGAGAAATATCATATGCCTCGACCCGTATTCGAACTGTGGCCACCTGGGTCATAAGTCGATGCTCAACCACTGAGCCACACCGGTCAGGCAAATGTGTGCCCATCTTAAGGCCTTCACACTTGCTGTTCCCTCTGACTGAAGTGTTCTCTTCCTAGATGTCTGTATAGATGACTCCCTCAACTTCTTCTAGTATTCAATCAAATATTACCTTCTTAGTTATGTGTCCCCTGATGTCCATATTTAAAATTGAAACACCCTCCTCTATTTCCTTCACATTTTCATTGCCCCTTGTTGTGCTCTATATTTTCCCCCATAGCACTTATCATCATCTTACGAACTGTTTAATGTACTCTTTGTTGTATTGTGTGTCTGGCCCCACTGGAAAATAACCTCCACAAGGACTCCGCTTTTTATCACTTAGGCTCCTTGATGTCTCCCAATGCTTAGAAGAGTGACAGTAAGACACTTCACAAATATTTGTTAAATGATAAAATGAACATGAGTGGAAAAAAGAAAGATGTAAAAGAATACGTTCTTTGTGATATTCTATAAAGTTCCAAGACAAGAAAATGTTTTAAAATGTTATTTGGGCCGGGACTGGTTTGGCTCAGTGGATAGAGCATAGGCCTGCGGACTGAAAGGTCCCGGGTTCGATTCCGGTCAAGGGCATGTACCTTGGTTGCGGGCACATCCCCAGTGGGGGGTGTGCAAGAGGCAGCTGGTCGGTGTTTCTCTCTCATCGACGTTTCTAACTCTCTGTCCCTCTCAATTCCTCTCTGTGTAAAATCAATAAAAATATATTTAAAAAAAAAATAAAAATAAAATAAAATGTTATTTGGGGACTGGTACACTCAGTATATTAATGCATATTAGTAAGGGAGTGGTACCATTTGGGACAATGGTTATCTCTCAGGGTAATATTGATCCTGATCTATTTCCTAAATTGGAGAGTTGGCTCATGGATCTCTATTTTACCATGCTTTCTAGCTTACATACGGGTCATATATATTCTCTTGTGTGTATCTAATATTTCACAGTTATAAAATGGTTGTGTGTTTGTTTGTTTTTTAATCCTCACCTGAGGATATTTTTCCCATTGATTTTGAAAGAGTGGAAGGGAGGTAGAAGGGAGAGATAGAGATAGAGATAGAGATAGAGAGAGAGAGAGAGAGAGAGAGAGAGAGATCAATGTGAAAGAGACAAATCAATTGGTTGCCTACCGCATGCACCCCAACAGGGACAAGGAACGAATCTACAACCTGGGTATGTGCCCTTGACTGGGAATCAAACCTGCAACCATTAGGCCCGAGGGCCAATGCTCTAACCACTGAGCAAATAGGCCAGGTCACAATTTGTTTTTAAGATGGGAACTAGCCGTGGGAGGAATTGAGGAATGGTATTCCAAAGAAAACAATGGCTGTGGCTAAAGGTCCTGCGGTGGGAACAGCTATTTCATTGGAGGACTTGCTCGGTGTGCCTGGGGCTCTGTGAGCAGGGGTGCCGCTGGCATGAGCTGAGCTGGCGAGGTGCGCAGGAAGGGGATCCCGAAAGCCTATGGCTAGGCATTTGGATCTGCTTCTAAGTGTGGTGAGAAGGCAAGTGGAGTGTTTTAAGCAGGTGAGAGACATAGTAAAAGTTTAAAAAAAATGTAGAGTATGACTATTTTAGGCCTTAGATCCCAATCGACTTCTTCCCTGAGATTAGCTGAGGCCTCTGTGTTAGGAGGATTTCCTGGAGGCCGAAGGGCTGTCTGCCCTTAGAAACACGTTTTGTAAGTCTCGGCGCAGACTGCCTGAGGGACATGATAAGATTTATGTACAGTGTTTTGGATTGTGGCTTTGGTTGGCTGCATGCCCAAACCGGACTTTCCCAGCTCTGAAGGGACACAGGTAAGTTTAAGTCCTGTAGCTTTTCATTTGACTGCATAACAACAAAAAGAAACCAAGGCGTAAAGGTGGTGCCATTTGCTGAAACGAGGAAAACGGAATAAAGCCCAAGGTGAAAGGGAGGGTGTTGTAAGTTTGAGACTTAGAAAGGTAGCAGGGAGCAGGTCCTGGAGACACTGTTCTGAACCCAGCAGGTGGGGGTAGACTGGCACCAGATTGTGAGGCCCGAATTCGGGTGATGGCAGCCTAGATGGAGGACACAAATATGAAATAAAACAGGAAGTAAAATCAGTAGGAATAACCAACCAACCAGTGAGATATTATGGGAAGAAAGAGATGGGGGTGGGGTCTAACACTGACGGGACATCCTGCCTCACTCTTTCTCCAGATGTTTCCCTACAGCCTGCCACCAGATCCTAAGGAGGTGGCGGCCATTGAGGCTAGACGAAATCGTGAAAAGGAGCGACAAAAACGATTCTTTGATGTGCGCACCAGAGTCATGGGGGTGAGTGGGCAGTGGGACCTTCTTGGGATCCAGAGCCACCTCACTTTTGCACCTGGAGAGGAACGTAGCAGTACCTGTTGCCCCCTCCCTGAATTTAAAAGAAAATATGGTGATTTGTTTTGTTATTACTATACTAGAGGCCCGGTGCATGAAATTTGTGCACGGGGAGGGGGGTGTCCCAAAACCCAGCCTACACCCTCTCCAATCTGGGACCCCTAGAGGGGTGTCCGACTGCCCATTTAGGCCCAATCCCACCAGGCAGTCAGACATCCCTCTCACAATCCAGGACTGCTGGCTCCCAACTGCTCGCCTGCCTGCCTTCCTGATTGCCCATAACTGTTTCTGCCTGCCAGGCTGATCATCCCCTAACCACTCCCCTGCCAGCCTGATTGATGCCTAACTGCTCCCCTGCCAGCTTGTTTGCCAATAACTTCCCTCCCCTGCAGGCCTTGTCACCCCTAACTGCCCTCCCCTGCAGGCCTGGTTCCCCCAACTGCCCTTCCCTGCAGGCCTGGTCAACCCCAACTTCCCTCCTCTGCCAGCTTGGTCACCCCTAACTGCCCTTCCCTGCAGGCTTAATCGCCCCCAACTGCCATCCCTTGCAGGCCTGGTCCCTCCCAACTGCCCTCTCCTGTTGGCCATCTTGTGGTGGCCATCTTGTGTTCACTTGGGGACAGGATCTTTGACCACATGGGGTCAGCCATCTTGTGTGTTGGAGTGATGGTCAATCTGCATATTACTCTTTTATTAGGTAGGATAGAGGCCTGGTACACAGGTGGTAGCCGGCTCGTTTGCCCTGAAGGGTGTCCTGGATCAGAGTGGGGGTTCCTCTGGGGTGTGGGGCAGCCCGGGCCAGGGGCCTGTGGCCATGCCCCCTGGCTACCCAAGCTGAGTCCCTGGTATCTGGGGTTTATTTATCTTCTACAATTGAAACTTTGTAGACTGGAGCAGAGCCAAGCCTTCTGCTCCCTCTGTGGAGGCAGCCATTTCTGTTGCTATTTATTTATCTTGTATAATTGAAACTTTGTAGCCTTAATTGAAGGCCTGGGCTGGCCAGGGTGTGCTGAAAGGCCAGGGCAACCCTAGCCTCCTGCTTTTTTCAGCTCTGTGGCTGCTGCCATTTCTGTTTGCATTTATGTATCTTCTATCATTGAAACTTTGTAGCCTTGAGTGGAGGCCTAGGCTGGCAAGGGCAGATGGAAAGCTTGTCTTCCTCCATTGCCGGGGAAACCCAAGCCTCCCTCCTGCTCTCTGTGGTGGTAGCCATCTTGGTTGGGCTTATTCGCATATTCTCTCCTGATTAGCTGGTGGGCGTAGCTTGTGTGTCTAGCAGAGTGATGGTTAATTTGCATATTACTCTTTTATTAGATAGGATTTTTATTGATTTCAGAGGGAGAAAGAGAAACATCAATGATGAGAGAGAATCATGGATCTGCTGCATGCTCTGTACTGAGGATCAAGCCTGAAACCCAGGCATATGCCCTGACTGGGAATGGAATCATGACCTACTGGTTCATGGGTCAACACTCAACCACTGAGCACACTGGCCAGGGCCCCTCCCTCATTTGAGCAGGCCCTGGGGATTCAAAGGAAGGAGAGGGAGAGGGAGCACCCACTTCTAGGTGCAAGAAGGGCCTGGGAAGGCAGTTGAGGTTGCAGGGGAAAAGATTTGAGGAAGAAGAGCCTGTGACATCTGACTCTTCGCCAGCCAGCTCTGGGCCCACAGGCCTGGTTCTTAAAAGACAACTAGCATAGAACCAAAAGAAGTCTAAAGGATATTTGGTACTGCATGTGCCTAAACTCTCTCTGGAAGGCTACATAAGAGACTGTTAGCCAGGCTGACGGATAGAGATGGGAGGGACACATGCTTCTCTAAACTGTATTCCCCTTTGCACAATTTTGAAACAGTTTAAATGAATGAATTACAATCAAAAGAAAGAGAAAACATTGGTAATTTTTTAAAAAAAAATAGATTGGAGGTGGGGTGGGTGAAGGGAGGATGAAGCATGTATTGTGGAAAAGACCCCACACCTGCACTCAAGGCAAGTCTGCTGTGCACTAGGTGTGTGGCGTTGGATGAGTCCCAGGTCTCTGAGCTCTGAGCTCCTCCTCAGGAAAATGAGGCTAAAGGAAATGTTGAGGTTTTAACTCAGGGTGGCAGCCCTGGAAACCAGAGCAGAGTGCCTGACCCAAGTGAGTGGTTGGCGGAGGCTTGAGTGGTGTGACAGATCCTGTTGGCCAGCACTTCCTAGGGCCTGCTCTGTGCCACGCAGTGGGTTGCACAGAAGCAACACAAAGCTGAGGCTCAGTCTCAGCCCTTAATGGACTCACTCTCTGGGGGAGGAAATCACCAAGAGAGGCAAACTTCAATATAATGTGGACAGTGCGTAGGAGATTGTAAAAAAATCAATGAAAAATATTTTTATATTTTTATTTTTTATTTATTTTTTTAAAAAATATATTTTATTGATTTTGTACAGAGAGGAAGGGAGAGAGATAGTGAGTTAGAAACATCGACGAGAGAGAGGGTCATCGATCAGCTGCCTCTTGCACACCCCCTACTGGAGATGTGCCCGCAACCAAGGTACATGCCCTTGACCGGAATCGAACCCGGGACCATCAGTCCCCAAGCCAATGCTCTATCCATTGAGCCAAACCGGTTTCGGCAATTAAAAATATTTTTAAAAAAGAATGGATGAAAAGTGTTCTAAGTGGCTGGAGCAAAAGCTGTCCATGCAAAACAGACTAAGATGTGCAGGAAGCTATAAGCACGGAGCTCCTGAGAGTGAGACAGGGGAGAAGGTACTGAGATGAGGCTGGAGAATGAGCAGAAGCTAGATTATCGAGGGGCTTCCAAACCATGCTGAGACGGTGGAACACTTTTTTTGCAATATATTTTTATTTATTTCAGAGAGGAAGGGAGCGGGAGAGTGAGACAGAAACATCAATGATGAGAGAGAATTACTGATCAGCTGCCTCCTGCACGCCCCCTACTGGGGATTGAGCTTGCAACCCAGGCACGCGCCCTGACGGGGAATGGAACCGTAATCTCCTGGTTCATAGGTCAATGCTCAACCATTGAACCATGCTGGCCAGACTAAAGGTGCAACACTATTATCCAATAGGTATTAGGGATGTAGAGGAGGGTTTTTAAACAAGATTTCTGAGCAGGTTAAGGCCTGCTGCTGGGCCCCTGCCACAATTTAGCTAATTTCTTTGGGATCAGGTGGACGTGGAAGCCCTGAACAGCCAGGTAGAAGAGCGGAAGCTTCGCGAGGCCAAAGAGCGGAGCAAGGATGAAGCTCATGGTAAACGCCCAAGGCCAGAGGCCTGCCAAGGAGGAGGATGAAAGGGACTGAGTGGACTCAGTAAGGCAGTTCTGCCTCCAAGTGGGGCCTTGAGGCCTGGGGGTGGTGGGACAAACCGGGTGGGCCTCGGGGACAGGGGCCATGCTGAGTGGGCTCTGTCCCTCCTGTGGGGCCACTTCCATGTCCCTGCCCACCACCCCCAGGTACCGCCCAGGTCCACTATGATATGGTAGCGCAGATGCTAGAAAAGGAAGACACAGAGCGGACACGTCGCCTGGCCAAAAAAGTCCAAGAGTTCCGCGAGCAGAAACAACAGCTCAAGAATAAGCGTGAATTTAACCTTTGGGGTCCAGAACAACTCTGGAAGGGATTTCAAGCCCTTCACGCTAACAGTGATGCCCACTATAACCCGTCCAGCCTGCAGTGCTTCTCTGGGGAGGACCCCGCGAGGGCCATGACCGTGAAAACGCAGCAGGAGCAATTGAGGAACAACCTGGACAAGCAGGTACACGAGCAACAGCAAGCCAGGGCTGATGAAAGGCGTACCGGTAAGTAGCTGGGCCCTCCAGGCTGAGACCTGAGGCCTGGTAGGAAAAAGTCCAAGTCGGGGACAGCACCCAGGAGACCAGAACCGCAGAGGGGTGGGGGGTGGGGAGAAACGGTTCAATTACCCCTAGGGCTGCTGCTGAAAGATTGATCAGACCCCAAGATCCCTGACTTTCTTCAGTAACTGACAATGTAGCCAATGGCTCTATCCATTGAGCCAAACCGGTCTCGGCCACTTGAGGGTTTTTAAGTCAGTGCTCAATGACCAGTAGCTACGATTACTATGACATTACCTGTGGCCACGTTCTCCTCTTCCATTTGAGTTAGCACTTCCAAGGCAAGGACCATCTCTTATTACTCATACTGCCCACCTTGCAGTTACCCCTATTATACAGCATTCGGTTCTGTTGTACCACTTACAGATGTGACTAACTCTGAAAGTGTTTGTGGATATCAGTCTTCTCCCCAAAATGTTGGCTCACTAAAGATGAAGCAGATGTCTCATTTGCACACCTGGATGTTAGTTGCCTACCACTGTGAAGGGAGCTCAATAAATCGTTGCTGAATGATCACTTGGAGACCAAAGTAAACAAGACAGGCACCCTCCAGAAGCCCACAGAACTATGCCTTCAAGAAAGTCAGTTTAGCCCTAGCCGGTGTGCTCAATGGTTAGAGTGTCGGCCCACACACCCAAGGGTCACAGGTTCGATTCCCAGTTAAGGGTACACGTACCTGGGTTGTGGGTTTGCTCCCAGCTCCGGTTACCTTCTAGTGAGGACAGAGACGGGCAATAGCCAAAATAATTTGAAATGGTGACTATATTGGATGGTGACAAATGCTAGGGAGAAAAGTCAGGGAAGGGAAATAAATGTTGGAGGCAGGCAAGTTGGTATTTTAGGTAGGAGAAAGAGGGAAGACCTCATTGAGCAAAGACTGAGGGAAGCAAGAAATCTGAGCCAAGAGCAACATCTTTTGCAAACACACAAGGCAGGGGTGTTTGGCATGATCTAGAAGCTGCAAGAACAGTGTGATTGGTTTAAGTGTTAATGCCTTTGCTCATGTGATGCCAATGGCCTGAAATGCCCTTTGCTTTCTGGCTAATATGCAACCTGTATGTGAAGGATCACCTCCTCCTGGAAGCCATCCTCTCACCCACCATCTAAAGTTCTCATAAGCCCAGCCAGTGTGGCTCAGTGGTTGAGGGTCAACCCATGAACCAAGAGGTCATGTTTGATTCCCAATCAGAGCCCAGGTTGCAGGCTCGATCCCTAGTAGGGGGTGTGTAGGAGGTAGCTGATTGATGATGTTTCTCTCTCATCGATGTTTCCATCTTTTTTTTCTTTTTTTTTAAATATATTTTATTGATTTTGTACAGAGAGGAAGGGAGAGAGATAGTTAGAAACATCGATGAGAGAGAGTCATCGATCAGCTGCCTCTTGCACACCCCCTACCGGGGATGTGCCCGCAACCAAGGTACATGCCCTTGACCGGAATCGAACCCGGGACCTTTCAGTCCCCAAGCCGACGCTCTATCCATTGAGCTAAACCAGTCCCGACCGATGTTTCCATCTCTCTGTCCCTCCCCCTTCCTCTCTCAAAATCAATTTTTGAAAAACATATTTTTAAAATTTTCATAATGCCCTGTACACATCTCTCCGTGACCTTACCACACTGTGGTATGACGATCCATGTTTGACCCATTTCCCTCACTAGACATGGCGCACTCTGAGGACGCCATCTAATTCCATGCTGTCCTCAGCACCCAACACATGGCTCTTAGCCTGAGGCTCAGAGAGAGGGAGTGATTCCCCCAAGGTCACACAGCTCAGAAGCAACAGAAGAGCTGGCACTGGGATCCAGGCCCACTGGAGGCATCTTTTAGGCCAGTGGTGGGTAAACTGCGGCTCACGAGCCACATGTGGCTCTCTGGCCCCTTGAGTGTGGCTCTTCCATAAAATACCACGTGTAGGCGTGCACGCACAGTATGATTGAAACTTCAAGGCCCATGCGCAGAAGTCAGTTTTCGGCTCTCAAAAGAAATTTCAATCGTTGTACTATTGATATTTGGCTCTGTTGACTAATGAGTTTGCCGACCACTGGGTTAGGCACTTGAGAAATCCTTGTTACTGCCACTTTGGCTAGCCTTAGCCTGACAGGGTAGCTCACTCTACATGCCTACAAGGTATTACCCCCACTCCAAATCATGCATACACACACACACCAACCATGCTTATTGAACAAATGGCTGTATGAGCGAACCCAGAACGAAGCCCTGGTCATATTTCTCTGTGCAGATGAGCTGCGGGAGAAGCTGCGGGTAGCTGTGGAAACTCGGGCCACCCAGCTGGCCAAGCTGGAGGAATCTTGCCGCATAGCCATGAAGTATGCCATGGCCAATGCCCACAAAGTCCAGGTATGGCCTGAGCCACCCGGCGCTCTGAGCCCTCCCTAACTCCCCCCCCCAACAAAGTCCTGGGGAGTCTTAGCCACAGCTTCTCCTCACAATTCTCCAGTCAACACCAGCCCTCATCTGAGGGCTTCCCACTTTCCCCAAGGGGACTCCTAGGGCAGAAGATGCCACGCCCCACCTCCAGACTCAGGCTGACTTGAGACAGAACACTGCCCTGCCTTCCCCAGCTGCTCAGCCTTCTCCATTCCACCCCTTCCCCCATCTTCGGCCATGCAAGGGCCACGGAATACCTGTGTTCCTTCTCTTTTTTATTTTTTTATTTTTATTACCTCTGTTCCTTCTACCCCTGAGATGGAGAATAGGGTCATGTCTCCCCTTCCCCTGTGACCGAAAGTTCCCCGAGGTTGGGTACCCAACTGCTCCCATTCGGGGATCCCACCAGGCAGCCGAGGTGGCTGAGCGACGGCTCCAAGAATATCGGCGGGAACAGGAGGCCAACTTGAAAGAGATCCATCACCAGATCAAGAGTGACCTACTGAATGAGAAAGCCCAGATCCTCACACCAGCCGGGACTGTCCCCACTGCCTCCCGGATCCTGCCCTATGGCGGGAAGGGGAAAGGCGGGATTCCAGAGAAGCAAGCCAGCGTCAAGAAGGCCCAGGCAGCGCAATGCCATGAGAAGGAGATGCAGCGCCAGGCCGAGCAAGCACGGGATGCCGAATGGGAAAGACAGGCCGTGTGCCTGGCCCAGGCGTCCTTGGAGCTGGAAGAACAGGAGAGGCAGCTCTGCGCCGAATTCCGGAGGGGGCTGGGCTCCTTCAACCAGCAGCTGGCTTACGACCACAAAGCCCAGTGAGTTCTAGGGAGTGGGGCGGCAGGGAAGACTGCCAAGGGGTAGGGAGGCATGGTGAAGGCCAGGAAGGCAGGGAAAACCTATTGGCTGAGGCCTCCGCACTTCCTTCACAGGCAGAATTACCTGAACTCAATGATCTACAGCAACCAGCCTATGGTCGCGTATCACCTCCGCTTCAACCCCAGCACCCGCTGAGCTCCAGACGATCCTTGCTTCCTTCCCCCTGCCCCTGTGAAGCCCACAGGAGTTGGCAGTTTGAGGAAAATGCCGCCGATCCCCTCCCATTCCCCAGAGGAAGATAGCTGAGCCAGCACCCCCACCTCTGAGCGTAGGTAATAAAGTTATTCACTAAAACCACGGCCACGTGTGAGAGCAGGACCCAAAGGCGTGAGGCACTGCTCTTCCCACGTCACCCCTGGGATCTGTCCATCTGTCAGTCTTCCCCCTTCACCTTTTCCCCCACGTCCGTTCCCCCAGCACACAGCACTGCCCACTTCCTGTAAGAAATAGGCTTTATTAGGCACAGGAGGTGATCAGTGGGCAGAGTTACCACATGGCTGCCGGGCTTCCTCCCAGGCTGGAGCACAGGGTGCCGGGGGGGGAGGATGGGTGGAAGAGTGTGTATCTCATCTGCCCCCTCCCTTCAAGGCTGCATGCGGATGGCCCCGTCCAGCCGGATGACCTCTCCGTTGATGAACGGGTTCTCGATGATGGACTGGACCAGATGGGCGTACTCAGCGGGGTGGCCCAGGCGGCTGGGGAAGGGCACCTGGCTGGCCAGGAAGTTGCGTACTTTCTCGGGGAGGCTGGTCAGCAGCGGGGTGCCAAACAGACCTAGAAAAGACAGTCAGAGGCCCCCCTTTCCTTAGCATACTTGTAGTGCCTCCCTGTGCCTGGGGATGGAAGGCTGCTGCTGCTATTCCCCTCTCCATGGCCCATGGATCCCACCGAATCCCAGGTGTGGCAGGGAGGGGAGAGGTTTACCTGGAGCAATGGTGATCACCCGGATGCCCATGGGAGCCAAATCCCGAGCAATGGGCAGTGTCATGCCCACTATGCCCCCCTTGGAAGCAGAGTATGCAGCTTGTCCAACCTGGAGAAAGAGTGGAGGTCATAGGTGGGAGGGCCCCCAACAGTAAGGTGACCAGACGTCCTGATTTGGCAGGACAGTCCCGATTTTGAACAATCTGTCCCTTTCCAAAAATCGGGACCGTCCCGCCAAAAGCGGGACGTCTGGTCACCTTACCCAACAGGTCACGGAGGAAGCACAAGCCTTGCCCCTGCTCACACACCTGGCCCTCGTAGGCAGCCACGCTGGCAGTGTTGATGATGACCCCACGCTGGCCTCCCTGGTCTGGTTCATTCTGGCCCATCTCACCAGCCACAAGGCGGATCACATTGAAGGTGCCTACGAGATTCACCTGGAGGACCAGTTAGGGCCATGGTTAGAACCCGAGGCAGAGGCAGCCTTTTGTCCCCTAAAAGCTTTGGGGGCACCCACAGCCCGGCACATCATCTTCCTACCCCTAGAGACTCTCCAAGGCCTCACATTGATAACTCGTTGGAAGTCCTCCAAGGTATGGGCCTGGGTCCTCTTTGCGTTATAGGTCTTGATGGCCACCGCGATGCCTGCGCAATTGACGGCCACATCCACACGGCCGAACTTTTCTTTCGCTAAAGCCAGAGCTGCTTGCACGTCCTTCTCTGAGGTCACCTTGAGAGGGAGAAGTGGGGGAGGTACTCATCACCCAGCACACACGCTCCCCACCAAACCTATGGGAGGGGACAGCGGAATTATGCAAGGGAGAGGCCAGGAGAAAACGGGGGAGAGAAAGCTGAAAATGTCAGTGTTTCAAAATGGGTTTTTAAAAAAATATATATTTTATTGATTTTTTACAGAGAGGAAGAGAGAGGGATAGAGTTAGAAACATCAATCAGCTGCCTCTTGCACTTCCCCTACTGGGGATGTGCCCGCAACCAAGGTACATGCCCTTGACCGGAATCGAACCTAGGACCTTTCAGTCTGCAGGCCGATGCTCTATCCACTATGCCCTCTTTTGATAATTTACCATACGAGGGGAGATTCTCAATTGCTGCGGATCAGAGCGCGGTTTTGAGAATTAGCGGTATGAAGGTGATCGCACCAAGCTTTACTGTCCGTAGTTTGTTTCATGAAAAGTTTTTCAACTTTGTAAATATAAAAGTACAGGTCACCATGAGTTTTTCAAACTATGCCCCTCCAGGAGATTGTGACTTGTCCAATCGCCGTCCCCACTGTTGTGAAGGGAAAAGGAGATGGGTTGTCCTGGCCAGTGTGGCTCAGTGGGTTGGGTGTGGTAGCGTGCACCAAAAGGTTGACAGTTCGATTCCTGGTCAGGGCACATGCCTGGGTTGCCCACTCAATCCCAGGTAGGAGGCAGCTGATGGATGTTTCACTCTAACACGGATGTTTCTCTGTCTCTCTAAAAATCAATCAAAATATTGTTTTAAGAAAAGGAGACAGGCCCACCCCTCACACAGACAGCAGCCTATGGGAGGGAGGGACCCATGGGTTCCCAGGCTGGTGCCTTGTGGGGGTGTGTGTGAAGTGACCCCACTTACGTCTGTTGGAGCAAAGGCACAGCTGTTCCCTAACTTCTTGGCCTGCTCCTCCCCATTCGAGCTGGGTATGTCCAGAAGCACAGCACTGGCCCCCAGTCCCACCAGCCGCTCCGCTGTGGCCAGACCTAGACCCGAGGCTCCTCCGGTTATAACGGCGACCAGGCCCTGTGAAGAGGTAGGGTCAGGGGTTGCGCTGTGCAGACCCTTTCCTCTGCCTGTTCTCCAGGCAAGGGAGGCTCCCTGTCCACCGTCCGGAGTGGCTCAGGGGTGACCCCTCTCGTGACCGATCACAACTCTACGCTTCTCGTCCCCAGAGGGTGCATCCAGGCACCCCACCTACACGTGCTGCAGAGAGTTGACCTTCACCTCCCGCCCCGGGCCCCACGGCCGCCACACCGGGACACCGGGCCTAGAATCACGTGACCATTGCTCCCCGCACCGATCTCCTCCCCCAACTTCCACGGCCGCCAAAGTCCCAGCAGGTTCAGCGGGGCGAGCCGCAGGGGCTAGGACCCGGATACCTTCACGCTCCGACACGCCGCCGCAGCCATCTTTCCCACGCCTCTCCCCAACCTGCCGCCGGCGCCCGTCCAATGGCGAAGGGGGCGGGGCCTGCTGCCCGCGCTCCACCTACGGACAAGTGGGCGGGGCCTACCGAGAGGGAGGAGCCGGCGCCCGTCCAATGGCGAAGGGGGCGGGGCCTGCTGCCCGCGCTCCTCCTACGGACACGTGGGCGGGGCCTACAGAGAGGGAGGAGCCGGCTGCCCGCGCTCCTCCAATGGCGAAGGGGGCGGGGCGGCGAAGGGGGCGGGACCGGCGAAGGGGCGGGGTGTCCGGGCGTGTGCTGACTGCTCCGGTCTCCTGGAGAGGGTTAGGACATGGCAAGGTGCCCTCCAAGAGTTGTGCCACCTGGGAAAGAACCCAAGAGCCGCAGCACAGTGCCACGCCCTCCGCCCAAGTCTCTAGCTGGCCGGGGGCAGGCAGCCAGCTCCGTGGGAGGCGGGGAGCGGCAGGAGATTGCGAGTCCCTTACTCCTCAGAAAAATCCTTCATTCAAGTATAGACGTTGCTGAGAGACTCTCTTATGCTAGGCTTTCAGCGGGGATACCCAGAGGAATAATAAAGGGTTCATGCCTTCCAGGAGAGCACAATTCAGTTGGAAAAGAGATACTTACAGTACAAACACAGACAAAGGAATGTAAGAGAACCGGGTTCTGGGACACAGACGTGAATAGCTGAAGATGGAGAATCCTGAGAGCCACATGGAGAGGAACATGTTGAAGAGATCGCGGGGAACAGAGATGCCAGGCCAGATCACAGAGGTAGATAGGGGTGTGGAGAGCCACTAAGAGACACAGTAGCTAGAAGAGACATTAGGAGACAGAGCTGCTGAGAAAAAAAAAGTCCAGAGGGGCATACATAGAGAAGCAAAAACAACTTTCACCAGTTCAACCTTTGCTGCTGTCCTCTGTATCCAAGGTATTTTGAAGCCCAAAGCCCAGATCACACACTGCAAACTGGATTTCAACCAGACGCTGTCATTTAAGACCCAGCTGAATGCATACACAAGTGGAACAACTAATAGATATTTCTCTCTCCTCCCCTCTCTCTATAAAATCAATCAATCAATTTAAATTTTTTTAAAGAAATACATGTTATATGTGCTTCTTTATCGATCCACTAAACACCAAGCTCAATCAACAGATTTAGTGGCTGCCATGATCTCAAAATAATGTTTGTTATTTTGAGAGATTTGCAGCAACCAGCATAAAAAAATCTGATTTCTGTTGGTGACAAACCCACAGGTATTGCTACACTAGTGTAGCTTGTTACACCCTTAGAAGGACAGAAGGACATGCTGCATTTCTGTTAGTGACAGTGCAAATGAAGATGCCTTCCCCTCTCATCCAAATCCATGGGCTCTTTACATTTTCTCTACAGACTCCAAAGGGGCTGTGGACTCTTGGTTAAGACTCCTCTTTAGAGCAAATGGAGACCGTTAGGTCAATCTTTCCTCTCTTGTCACTTCCAACATTCTATCTAGCCATACTATCCCCTCTTTGGGTCTCAGAGAAGAGAGGTCTTGTTTGGGGCTTTCCTTCCCACTGGGCTCTGGGTCCTAGCCCCTCCCATTTCCTTGGAGGTTTGTGCCATTGAACATGCTTTTTTTTACAGAGGAAGGGAGAGGGATAGAGAGTTAGAAACATCGATGAGAGAAAAGCATTGATCAGCTGCCTCCTGCACGCCTCCCACTGGGGATGTGCCCGCAACCAAGGTACATGCTCTTGACCAGAATTGAACCTGGGACCATTTCAGTTCGCAGGCCGACGCTCTATCCACTGAGCCAAACCGGTTAGGGTGAACATGCCCGGTCTTTATTGCTCAAACTTCTGGCTCAAGGTCGTTAGAAAATCAGGAACAGATGGACTCAACAGATATACATCAGTTTGAGTGCATGAGACCCAGAACCAGCAACATCCAACATTATCTTACAATCCCCAGGGGCTATTAGCCATACCAGGAGATGAGAGAAAAACAAAGGTGGTCTTGCCGTAGCCGGTTTGGCTCAGTGGTAGAGCGTCGGTCTGCGGACTGAAGGGTCCCAGGTTCGATTCCGGTCAGGGTCATGTACATTGATTGCGGGCACATCCCCAGTGGGGGGTGTGCAAGAGGCAGCTGGTCGATATTTCTCTCTCATCGACATTTCTAGCTCTCTATCTCTCTCCCTTCCTCTCTGTAAAAAAAATCAATAAAATATATTTTAAAAAAACAAAACAAAGGTGGTCTTCATTCCTGGGAGATAAAAACTACAGCAAGCCAAGCCTTTAAACTCCTGGGGGGGCTAAAGTTACCCCTGCAAAGACAAAGTTGTACTGGATCTGGCTGGCTCTGAGGTGACTTTGGCAACTGTAGAGACTCAAATGATGAGTATGCAGAGGACCCAAATGTGTGCTTGTAATTTCCAAGTGAGTTGGGGCACAAGTGTTTAAAAAGTATGTTTTTATTGCTTTTAGAGAGAGAGGAAGAAGGGAGAGTGAGAGAAACGTCGATGAGAGGGGAACATTGATTAACCAGTTACCTCTTATATGCACCCTGACCAGGGATTAAGCCCACAACCTGGGCATGTGCCCTGACTAAACCAGTGACCTTTTGGTGCATGGACAATGCTCAACCACCTCAACCACACCGGCCAGGACAGTTGGGGCACAATTTGAATGAATGTTTTAAACTCTGAAGAAGCCCTAAACCAGTTTGCCTCAGTGGATAGAGTGTTGGCCTGCAGACTGAAGGGTCCCAGGTTCGATTCCGGTCAAGGGCATGTACCTTGGTTGGAGGCACATCCCCAGTAGGGGGTGTGCAGGAGGCAGCTGATTGATGTTTCTCTCTCATTGATGTTTCTAACTCTCTATCCCTCTCCTTTCCTCTCTGTAAAAAATCAATAAAATATATATTTTTAAAAATAAGTAAACTCCGAAGCAGTGTGCAGGACATGAGAATGACATGCAAGCCTAGCTGAGGACACATGATAGTTGAATGTCTACCATTTGAATTGATAGGGTTGGCATCTGAGTGAGCCTGAGTAAGCCAGCCTACGGTCATGCTGACTTTAACATAGCCCAAATCAGTGGCATTGTTCAGCCTCTGTGTAATCAGAACTGTCTAGCTTGTTTGCCATGGTGGATTACTTCTTCTTCCTAGAAACCCCCCTTGTCTTCCATGATACCTCACTTTCCTGTGTCCTCCTACCTGACTCTTTTTTGTTGTTGTTGTACATACATGTACAGTGCTATACTTCATTCAATATCACTATCTCCTGTATTTTCTGACTCTTCTTTCTAGGTCTCCTCTTTGGCTTCCTTTCCTTCTGCGCCCTCACTGAGGGGCTCAGTAATCTCCTGGCTTCAATACCACCTCTCTGCTGAAGACTTCTCCATCTCTACCTCCAGCTCGCCTCTCCGTTAACTTCAGGATGAGATAGCCAATCATTTGCTAGCCCCTCACACCAGCTGGCTCTTCGGCACCTCCAACATATGACTTACGTTAAAGTCAATCATTTCGTCGTAAACTTGTTCTATCTCAGTAGCCATACTACCTTAACAGACACCAAAGCCAGACCTTGGGGCTAATGCCTTTTTCACTCCATGTAATCAATTGGCAAATCCTGCTGATTCAAGTCCTATCTACTCCTTGAATCTGGCACTGAGAGGGCAGGGCGGGGTGAGGGGGCAGGCGGGGCGAGAGGGCAGGTTGGGGCGGGTCCAGCTCCAGGTAACTGGACCCTAGGCCTAACCCAACCAATCAGGTCAGCCAAGGTAGCAGCACCACCCTCCCTATAAAACCCACTGATATGTTAAGTTCTTCCTTTTTCTCGCCCATGCCCTCGTTGGTGTAGGTGAGACTGGGCTCGGACTAGTCCGAAATAAATACAGACTCTCTGCAATTGCATCGGATTCGGCTCCCTGGTAGTCTTTGGGGTTTATGACACTTGGGCATAACAGCACTTCCTCTCTCCTATCTTCATATTATCAACACCCAGATCTCTTGTATTATTGCACCTGGTCAAATCCCACTGCTGTTCCTCTTAAAGGGACCTTCCAAGAAGCCAGTAGAAGTTTCTTTCTAAAACTCGAATGTTATGTTACCCTCCTTGCTGTAAACCCTTCCAGTGGTCTCCCCTCACTTTTAGGGCTCCCCATAATCCACAGCCACTGACTTCCTGACTTCAGCCTGTATAACACTGTACTCTCCAGCGACAATGCACAGTAATGCTGCCAGATGATTATTAAATTTTAATTTCATATAAACAACAAATAATCGTGAGCATCAGTATCTCCCATGCAATATTTGGGACATACTATTATGAAAATTGTTTTTTAAATATATTTTATTGATATTTTACAGAGAGGAAGAGAGAGGGAGAGAGAGTTAGAAACATCGATCAGCTGCCTCCTGCACACTCCCCATTGGGTATGTGCCCGCAAACAAGGTACTTGCCCTTGACCGGAATTGAACCTGGGACCCTTGAGCCTGCAGGCCGATGCTCTACCCACTGAGCCAAATGGGTGAGGGCATGAAAATTGTTATTAACTAAAAGTACTGGTTATTGAAACCAGTTTGGCTCAATGGATAGAGCGTCGGCCTGCGGACTGAAAGGTCTCAGGTTCGATTCCAGTCAAGGGCATGTACCTTGGTTGCGGGCACATCCCCAGTGAGGGGTGTGCAAGAGGCAGCTGATCGATGACTCTCTCTCATCGATGTTTCTAACTCTGTATCTCTCTCCCTTCCTCTCTCTACAAAACCAATAATATATATATTTTTTTAAAGTACTGGTTATTTATTTAAATTCATATCTAAGTGGGCATTCTGTGTTTTTTAAAATATAGTTTTATTGATTTTTAGAGAGAGAGAGGGAGAAGGAGAGGCGGGGGGGGGGTAGAGAGAGAAACATCGATTGACTGCTCCCTGCTCTCCTCTGGGGATGGAGCCAGAAACCCAGGCATGTGCCCAGACAGGCAACCAAAAGACAACCTCTCCGTGCGTGGGACAATGCT